TATAAAGTAGTTTATTGTGATGGTCCCAAATGAGTAAATTAATTTAGGTAATATCATAATTTTTATTATATTAGCATAGACTAGCCACATGCAATTAGTATTTTTCAAATTATTTGTCTTTATTTCTGTGTTTTGTATCTGTACTTGTATAATTCTTATGTGTCTAAATAGGTAGATCCCACAAATTTTTGTAATGTAGTTTTTAAAAAATGAATTTCTCTATCTCTTCTTGCTGGGCATTGGTGTTAATATATAGAAAAGCTAATGATTTATATGGTTTAGTTCTATATGCTGCCATTTTTCAAAAGTTTCAATTTTTTCAACTAATTGTGAATTTTTAGAGTTCTAAAAATAGACCATTGATAAAAAGTGATTTATTCTTTTTTTTTTGCTCATACTTATTTTCTCAATTGCTTTTTCTTGTTGTACTGCTATAGCTAGCAGTCCTAGTACTACTATATTAAATAATAGTGGTGATAATGGAATCTTTTATTATCTTTGATTTTATTGGAAAGGTCTCTACCATTGATTCGTTATATCTGATGCTGGCTCTGGTTTTTAGATAGAAACTGCTTGTTTTATTAAGAAACATCCATTTATTCCAATATTTTCTATGAAAAAAAATGAGTGTTGTATTTTGCCAAAAGCTTTTTGTGCATCTATTGCTATAAATGTATGATTTTATCATTCTTGTTCCTTAATATGTTTTATTCCTGTTTTTTTAGTTTATATTGGACTTCCCCCTGCTTTCTTAGCTAAATGAAACTGATCATGACATATAATTTATTTAAATTTTTTTATTTTTTACATATGCTTTTGAGTTGAAAATTTTTCTCCCTTTTCCTCCCCCCCACCCTCCCCAAGACGGTGCACAATCTGATATAGGCTTTACATTTACATACCCATTAAACATATTTTCACATTAGTGAAGTTGTAAGTGAAAATTAAAACCAATAGGAGGAACCATCAGAAAGAGGAAACAAAACTGAACAGAAGGTAAAAATAAGTGATAGTGATTCGACTTCCATAGTTCTTTCTTTGAATGTGAACAGCATTATCCATCCCGAGGCCTCTGGAAATGTCTTAGATCCTCATAATGCTGAGAAAGGTTCAGTTTAACAATCTTAGTTATTGCATAACGTGGCTGTTATTGTGTACAAAGTCCTCTTGGTTCTGCTCACTTCACTCAGCATCAGACCATGTAAGTCTTTCCAGGTTTTTCTGAAGTCAGCCTGTTCATCATTTCTTATAGCATAATAGTATTCCATTACATTCATATACCACAACTTGCTCAGCCATTCCCTAATTGATGGGCATCCTCTCCATTTCCAATTCTTTGCCACCACAAAAAGAGCTGCTATGTATATTTTTGTACATATGGGTCCTTTTCCCATTTGTTTGATCTCTTTGGTATATAGCCCTAGAAGTGCTATTGCTGGATCAAAGGGTATGCACATTTTTGTAGCCCTTTGGTCATAGTTCCAAATTGTTCTCCAAAATCATGACATACAATTTAAAAAATTGTTTAATTGATTAATCTGTTTAACAGTTGTAGCTCTTTTGCTAACACTTTATTTAATATTTTGTTCATTAGGGGTGTTGGTCTCTATACTATACTATACTATACTATACTATACTATACTATACTATACTATACTATACTATACAATACTATACTATATTATACCAACTATAGTTGGACCATATATACATAAATACACATATACATATATATGTCTGTATATACACATGCCTTTGACTGAATCCAAACTTCACAGAATAAATTCTCTTAATAAAATAATTTATTCTGTAAAACATATACAACATGTAAAAAATATAAGACTATATTTGTATCACAGGAGTTTGGAAATGTTCCTTTTTTCATATTTTCTTATATAGTTTAAAAGATATTTGAATCAATTTTTCATTGAAACTTTGATGTAATTCATTCATAGATCTGCCTGGTCATGGAATTTTTCTTTCTTTTTAGTGTTTATTTATTGCTTATTCAATTTCTTTTTGTAAAATTTAGTTATCTAAATTCTCTAATTCTCATTCTGTTACACTACATGTTTTATATTTTTGTTTATATACATCAGTTTCATTTAAATTTTCAGTTTTGTTGGCTTACATTTTTACAAAATACTTCATGATAATTTCCTTTACGTTTTATTCATTTTCTTGGTGAATTTTTAAAAATGCTTGATGCTAGCAATTTGATTTTCTTCTTTCTTTTCAAGTTAGACTAGGTAACTCCTTATATAAAATTTTAGGAATTTTTTCCTTTTTTTCTTTTAATTTTTTTAGGCAGTTGGGGTTAAGTGACTTGCCCAGGGTCACACAGCTAGTAAGTGTCAAGTGTTTTGGTCTAAGGCCAGGTTTGAATTCAGGTCCTCCTGAATTCAGGGCTGGTGCTCTATCCAGTGTACCACCTAGCTGCCCTGATAGGAATTAAAAAAAAAAAGACCTTATGTTTAAAAAAAATTTTTTTTACTTTCAATTTTGTAATCTCTGATTTTGCGAATTTCTATTTTAGTATTTAGTTAGAGTTGTTTTTACTTGACTGATTTTTCTAGATTTATTTTCTTTGCTGTGTGTCAGATTCATTGATCTGTTATTTTCTTTTGTTAATGAAAATGTTTAAAGATATAAAATATCTAAGGATTGCTTTCTTTGTATGCCAAAATTTTTATTATATTTTCCTATTGTTAGAATTAATTTTGATAGAATTGTTTGCTTCTATATTTGTCTTTTTATTTACCAACTCTTCAGGATTAAATTATTTAGGCTACAACTAATATTGAATCTTGTATTCAAAGATCCTTTATTGAATATTGACTGAGTCTGGATTCAGAAGGCTTGAGGAAAATCCCATATATGATACTTAAATAGCCTGTGACCATGGTCAAGTGATTGCTTTCAACAAGGCTTCTGATTCCTCACAAGTAAAGCAATGATGTTGGAGTAAATAGTGTCTTAGATCTCTTCCAGCTCTATATCATCCTATGACTATATCTTTTTATTGCAGTCAACACAGGATATGTACAATATTTCTGCTTTTCTGAATTTGTGAGAATTTTTAACCCTCAAACACAGTTAATGTTAAAGGTACCATTCACAACTGCGAAACATATATATATATATACATATATATGTATGTATGCATGTATGTATGTATATACATACATACATATGTATACACGCACACACATACACACACACACAGACACACACACTCTTTTCTATTTCCTTTCAGTAACTTCCAGAGAGTTATTAAAATTTTGTATTTAATAAATTCAAGTCCTCAATATTTTTATTTGTCTTTGTTAGATTTATTTATTTCTGAAGGGTGTACACTATGGTTCCTCACTATTATAATTTTACTATTTATTTCTCTCCATAATTTGTTAAACCTTTCATTTGAATTCTTAGATGCTACATTTTTTGTGACTATAGGTTAAGTATTTATATTAATTGACTGTTTATAGCAATTTTATGCATAACTTCATTTTAAACTATGTATATTTTTATTACTTCCTTCAGGATTGTTACTCTCGCTTTTCTGAGTTGACCTGAATCATAACAAATTTTGCTTTATGCCTTGGTTTAAGTGTTTTTGAATCTTTATATTTCAAGTGTGTTTCTTGTAAACAACATATTATTGGAATCTGCTTTCTCATCCATTCAGCTATACTTTTCCAGGTCTTTTTCACATAATCTTATCATTATTTTCCCTTCAATCCCCTATTCATGTTCCATCTCTGGAGTTTGATTTTCTCATGACTATTTCCTTCCTAGTTCTACCATCCATCTAACCACTCTTATCTCCCTATCTCTGTTTGAACTCTGAGTGGATTTAATACTTCTTTGTCCAGTTTTGGTGAAAATGAAATCAAAGTGATGACCTTCTCCCCAACCCTTTGCTATGTATATTCTTATTCACTTCGATTCTGTGAAATATGGTATTTCACCCCCTTCTTCTCTGATGAAATCTATCCTCTCTCTTTTTTCTTTCTTAGGCCATGTAAACAGAAAAAAAGTGCCTCAGCCCTCTCTTTGTCTTGTTTAACTTCCTTTATAGCCCTGGAAGGGCTATGAAGAGATTTTTTCCCCTCTCTTTTCTCCGTATTAGAATGTAAGCAAATCTTCATTGTTTAGCTTCTTTCTTTTGTTCAAAGGTATTTACTTTTCTATATTGTTCCTGACTCCTTGTGTTTGAATTTCAAAGTTTCTGCTCAACTCTCATGCTTCCTTTAGAAATACATGGAAATTCTTTATTTCATTAAAAGCCTATTATTTTCCCCCTATAGTATTGTACTCAGTTTTTTATTCTTGGTTGTAAGCTTTTATCTTTTACCTTTTGGAATGCCTTATTCCAGGATCTCCTTTTTTTTTTTTTATGGTAGTAGCTACCAAGTTTTGTGTGATTATACCTGTGGTTCTTTGGTGCTTGAACTTTTTCATTGTGACTACTTGCAATATTTTGTTTTTAATTTTGAAGCTCTAAATTTTGTCTATGACATTTCTAGAAGTTTTCATTTGGGGATTTCTTTTATAATGTGACAAGTAGATTAAAAAAAAATTTTCATTTTCCTTCTAATAGACCTGGATGCTTTTCATTTATGATTTCTTGAACTATGGTAACCAGTTTTTTTTTTAGATGATTGCTATACAAATTAGTGGTTCTTAATTTATTTCTTCTTCCCCTATTTTATTGGTTACTTATTTTTGACAATATATAACTTGGATTTTCTTTTTTTTTTTCAGTCTTTGGAGTGTGTTCTGATATTCCTTTTACTTTCTTGAAGTGTTTGACTTCTATTTTGTCCATTGTAATTTTAAGGGGGTCCACTACTTGGGTAAGGTAGACCTTATACTATCTATCTATCTATATCTATCTATCTATCTATCTATCTATCTATCTATCTATCTATCTATCTATCTATCTATCTTTATATCTCCTATACTAAGCTATTTATTTTCCTTTTGATTTTGTCTTTTAAAATCTTCTTTCTTCATTTCTTCTTAGAACTCTTGTAATGCTTGTGCCTTAACAATTTTTCTCCCTGAGTCTCTGCTTGTAGTTCTGGAGTAATTCTCTTCTTCTGCATTTGCATCTTGGGTATCTCTGGGTCCGTAAATTTTTTTATCTTGGTTGCTGCATATGACTTATAGAAATTAAACCATTTTTACATTATATTAAGTAGCACTCTTAATAAATTTAGCCTATTACTTTTTAAAAATATTGGCAGTAGATAAGGGTAGCTACTATGCACATTTTACAATTTTGTTACATTTGGTGCTTTTTTGATGTCATTTTATTAAATCTTGCTCTCTTTTTTTTCTTGCAAGGAAACAAATCATATCATATTTCATTCTCAGAAGAGTTTTAAAGAATGGATATGTGAAAAAAGATGAAAAAAATATATTTAATGGAGGACTGACCCATGACTTTAGTACCTATACACATGTAAAGTACAACTGATGTATTTTCTAAATATGGAAGAGGCTGTGGAACCTGCATCTGGGAGCGTCATCCTGATGTTTAATGAAAGTGGCTCATGGAAGCTTTGGAACATGCATAAATGTTTTATAATTGGTTCTGGTCTCCTAATCATATATTGAGTAGAACCCTTTAAATTGGCTGAATCCAAGAAACCAGAACTAGAGGGAGGAGGAAGATGAAAAAGACTTAGCCTCAGCCCTTTCTTTCACTTTGACCTCTCTCCAGCTGATTTCTTCCTGCTAGGCAACATCACATGAAAGGCAATTGTTGTAGGGAAAGAGGCTTCAGGAGCTCTTCTTCTCTGAGGCCTGTGTCTCTATGAAAAGACATCTCAGTTCTTGGCATTAGCATTTGTTTTATCTTAAAGAGATTAACCAGGAGGTTACAATCTTTGAATTTCAAAATGTCAGAGTGGTAAGCTCCCAAATTCCTAGTGACTTCAAGTTGAGTCCATGTTGGATTTTGTAGCCAGCCTAGCATCAGTGCCCCTGTGAGCAAGGAGTGATACTCAGGACCCAGCTAAATTGTAGCTGAGACCAGGATTAATCTGCTATTGATCTGAATTTGGACAACTTGTGGGACCAATCCTATGGAGAAATTCTGCTAAATCTGAGCCCGCTGTCCTAGAGACTGAGGGGAGCATGTACCTTGTAGGTGTTATGGGGAAAATGTTTGTACTTCTGTTTCTGATATATCTTTAAAGTAAATATCTTTTTATAAAACCTAATCAATATTAGAATTGGATGAATTTGGAACTGAGGCCACTGACACCTACTGAGGGTGGAACAACATACCCAGAATGGGTGTTCAAGTTTTTAGCATTAGGGAAGAGCTATCCCCAGCACCTCAGGAGTATTTTCCTAGAAGGGTAGATGTATTTGGTCTCAGCCTAAAAGAGTGAGGCCAAAGAATACTCATTGCATATAAAATAAAATGTTTGTATCTCTACTTGGGTAACTGGAAATTATTGCCATACTTCACCATTTTGATGAAATGTAGCAAATTTTATTTTCACATTTTCAATACTTAGGACACATTAAAGATACATGCCAATATAAATCATGCTTAGGTCCTGAATGCAATATGAGACCTCTGATAGATTGATTTATTCTTAGATTGGAGTTCCCTAGAATAAAAAATGACTAACAGATATACCACAATCCAAAAGTGTAGATTTTACTTTTACAACTCATGCCAAGAGAAACAAAAAACCCTTCATTATATATATATATATATAAAATAATATTTTACAGTCCTATAAGTGCTGTCATGAGGAAATATTTTTCGTCTTTTGAATAATATAGGGAACTCTTAAGAATCCTGTATCCAATTTCTCCAGTTAAATGCTGAATTTGACCCATGAGTTAGTGTTTTAACAGGTGGGTTATTCAGCTGCCATTTGTTCTCTTCCACTTCTTCACAGAAACACATGCCAAGTGAAGGGATCTAGAAAAGAGATTTTAATAGTTTGTTAATGAGGACTTTTGGCCAAAATGACTGCCTGAATAAAGGCAGAGCAGCACCAAACTCCCATATGCTCACTTCAGCAAAAACCTTAAATTCATACAGGACATGATAATAACAGTCAATCATGAGCTTATCTTCATACAGCTATATTTACCCTTCAATATTTTTAAAAATTAATTTATTTTGATTTATCAACAATCATTTCCATAAGCTTTTGAGTTTTAAATTTTTCTCCCCCTCCATCCCCAAGATAGCATGCAATCTGATATAGGCTGTACATATACGTTCCTATTAAACATATTTTCACATTAATGATGTTGTAAGTAAGAATTAGGAGGAACCACCAGAAAAAGGAAACAAAACACAACAGAAGAAAAAAGAATAGCAAACAATATGCTTCGATCTGCATTAAAACTCCATAGTTCTTTCTTTGGATGTGGATAGCATTTTCCATCATGAGGCCTCTGGAGATGTCTTAGATCCTTGTATTGCTGAGAAGGGTTACCCTTCAATATTATCCAGTATTCTTCCATCCTTTTCCCTTTCTCCCACTGTACAAGTTTGTAACTCATCCTACTCTTATATTGTGCTCTTAAGGCACAATATATAACCTAACCATTACTTGGATAACCACAGCAAGTGCCAATGGGAATATGTTCTCCTCCCACTCACCCCCAGTATACCTGCTCCCATTATCATGTGGATATATCAGGTGTGACATATAGGATGGACTCTGCATTCTGAAGTCTAGACTTTTGAGTAAAAGCTCCATTCATCCCCTCACTCCCCCTTTTCTTTTGGACTGAGTGAGCTGCTTAAAGATAGTAGGATCAGTGCGTTGTGATCTGCATTGCAAAGCTCATTACATTGACTTTCCCCCTCAAATTCCCCCTTCTTTCAGATTTCCCTGTTTTTGTTAAGGGCACTGCCACCTCTCCATTCACTTAGGATGTTAATCTTGGTGTTATCTGGGACTCCTCATTTTTTGATTACTCCACATAATCCAATTTCTTGCCAAATCTTGGCATTTTTATTTGTAAAACATTCTCTCATCTCTCCCTTTCTTTCTAGTTACAATGTCATCACCCTAGTTCAGGTCTTCATCTCCTCTTTTTTGGAGAATTACAATGGTTTCCTAATTAATGTCTCTGCCTCAAGTCTCTCCCACCTCCAAATCATCTTCCACACAGCTAAAAAATGATACTCCTAAAGCACACATCTGATCATGTCAGCACTCCACATGCTCCCTATTGACTCTAGGATTAAGTATAAATCTGTTTGTAACTTAAAAGCCCTTCACAACCTGTTTCCAACTTAACCTTTATTTCCTAATTACGCATTTTTTCCCTTTTTGCAATCCTTTGATCCAGCTAAACTGGTCTTACTGAAAAAAGGAAACATCTAAATGTTAATAGGAAATTAAGGCATGATAATACATGTTAAGCAAAGCCATATTAAAAAAAGGAGTAATTTGGATTTATATTGAAAACTTTCTGCTGAATTGAGATTAGAGATAATTTAATTATGTTTGTTTTTGCATTGTGTATGATGATTAACTATATACTGGAAACCACAATTCCTGAAAAGCTATTATGTTCACTGACAGTTATGACCCATTATTTGATTATTGTATTACACACAAAAAAATTAAAAGTAATTTACCTGCTGAGCTAAAAATAAAGAAACAAAAAACAGAATGACTAGTTGCTAGCAGACAAATGTTAATTAACCATTTATGCTATTCCCCAGAATATATACAAGAATGTTTAGAAAATAATGAAGCAGATTCAATCATACTGGTCACTGTGAAATTAGTGTATTAATAATTATTATTTAATATTAATAATGAGTAAAATATTTTAGTGGAAGAAAAAGGTTTTTATATTGTTATTAAATAAAAATTTTAAATATTTAAAAGTTTATAAGATTCTTCAAAATGTCCATTACATGTATGTTATGTAATGTATATAATGTATTATATTACACACACATGTTATATATATGTACATATATATATATACATGTTGTATATATGTATATATACATATTTTGGGAATATATACTGAATTTTTATTGATATGAGTGTCACATTGTAAAATCAAAAATTGATTTTAATTTTATTTTGCTAAGATTTAATCAACCTAGATTTGATATTCCCTTTTGAAGTTCCTTCTTCTTGTCAACGTCCCCACCACCCAGATCCTGGAGAAACATGCCTGAAGGTTAAGCTTTTTTTCTTGTAATTACCTCCACCTTTTTTTTTTATTACTTCCAATTATATGTAAAAAAATTTTTTTTAACACTCATTTAAAATTTTTTTGAGTTTCAAATTCTCTTTCTCTCTCCCTCCCATTGCCCCTCAATGAGAAAGGAAGAAATCTGATATGGGTTATACATGTGCAGTCATGCAAAACATATTTCCATATTAGTCATGTTATGAAAGACTGAAAAAAACCCCAAGAAAAATAGAGAATTAAGAAAAAAGTATGCTTCAACCTGCATTCAGACTCCATCAGTTGAAGGAGAGAGAAGTGGGATTTGAGAGAAATATGGGTAGATAAAGAAAGTATGAACTTTGTAATAGCTAATAGGTACCTCCAGAGCTTTGGATATGTGGAGAATGCTAGCCCCTAAATATATCCCTTGATTCCCAGCACTAGCAACCCCATATGACTTTCATCATTCCCTAGCCAAAGAATCTGTTTAATCTTACTGATTCTAATCTGTATAACTTCTCTGATTTCTGTCCTAATGCTTGCTTAGATAAATGTTTGCTAGCTATTTGTTGTTGTTGTTGTTGTGTGTGTAATACATTTTTGGTTAGAGAGAACTAAGCTAATTATTATTGAGTAAGCTAATTATTATCCTTTTAGTCTGAGGCAGGACTACTTCCCACCCAGAGTGACCAGGGAAAGCAGTTTTTACTCTGACTTCAAAAAAGACTGCATATATGATATGTAGGACATGGATAAAATTTTAGCCCAGTATCCTTCTTGAAGATAGAGTGTATAGTAAGTGCCCTCCTGCTTTGCCCAAAGGTGGAAATAGCAGTGTCCTCTGCAGATACAGATTTTACAGATCTTTACACATCTCTGATTTTATACATCTAAATGTATACTTTCTACAAGGGCTGCCCTGTATACTTATGGCCACCATATATACTCATTACATGAGTGAGTCAAACAAAACAAAACAAAAAAAACCTCTCTTACATTTTTATTTCCATAAAGGAAGACAGATTAATGACCCTTCTCCTCCATAGAAAACCAATTGAATCAGCAAATCATTAGAGCTAGGAAGGGCAAGGGATCATATCATCTAGAGCTGGAAGGTATCTCAGTCATCATTCAGTTTAACCCTCTAATTTCTTATATGAAGAGAATAAGTTCTAGGGAGGTAAAGTGATCTCTTCCAGATCACATGACTCAGTACTGAAGACTAGATTTCTCTTAGCTCCCAATTCATTAATTTTTTCCATATTATACCACCTCTTGAATTAGTTTCTCACTGACTCACTGATCTTTGAAACTGGTGGCAGGCATAAGGACATAGTACAACACCCATATAGAATTTCCTACTGGAGAATACCTTTCTGACTAGTTGTGCAAAATCACTGATGTCTCTGGGTGGGAGGTCAAGTAGCGGTCGAGTGCAGGAGTCCAGAGCTGAACCATGGCTTACAATTGAGATTACACCACCTGGAAAAAAAGAAAGGAAAAGAAAAGAAAACCAAGGCAATGACTACTGAAATTACCCAAGGTTTAGGTTAGGGTCCCCCAAATATTTTGTAGGGTAAAGTCAGGAATGTGCTGACAAATGCTTAGCAACCAGCCTTCTGAAAACACAGCACTTAAAAAGAGAAGATTCAGCAGCTACTCTTAATAATGGGTATTATGACCAAATACTTTTAAGTTTAATCTATCTTCTTAACATGTTCTCTATCACTTTCTTTTTAACAAAACAACAAATTAACCCTAATTTTTAGTATTTATTCATTTCTAAGGTGAGCAAATGCCCACACTGAAGATTTAACATTTGGGTTTCACAAGCCCAAGTGAAGGTATTTTTTTATTCTCCCAAAACATTGAGATTACCTGGGGAATGGTGAGGTGGTGAAGTATATTAGCATAATGGTGGAGTTCATGGGCAAATCAGTGCATGCCTAGGAGTGGAAGGCTCCCGTACCAAATTTGGTCATAATATCCATTATTAACTGGCTACTGAATTTTTTTCTTCTTAAATTTAAAAAAATGTTAAGCTGATTTGATTTTGATTTGACACATTTACTTGTATTTGCTCTAATATCTTTGATCTGACCTAAGATAGAATTGGATATAGGGAATGAGGGCATGAGAAAAAGAGAAGACTAGAACTTCAAAAAGATTGACAACCACTAAATCAATCCATTAAATGAACCCCAAAGTTGCTGTGCCCTAATTCTACTGTAGGAAAAAGACACTAACTGATTTAGATAGTAGTTATCTTGGCTAGTTTCTAATATAGAAGCAAGATCCTGAAGGTAGAGGAAATGACAGTAGTCACATGCATTGCCAAAAACATTTGCTTTCACCTGGGCAGGCAGCAACAATCTGCTTCACAGTCATAGAACACCTTTTTACATAGTCATCATAACTTTCTGATGGCATCAGGGAGGAAAGTGGGAATTCAGATCTAAAAAAGAGAATAAAGGGAACAGTCATATCTCATGGTGAATCAGGGCTATTCTAGAAAAAACTGGGGATTTTTTCCTAAACAATAACATAACAAAGTGTAAAGCCATTTCCTTAAAAAACAAAAAAAAAACAAAAAAACCCAGATAATGTGACAAGGTGCTGGCCCTTGGGTGAAGGCAACTGATGGAATGTAAGAAACTTCTAGTGATTCAGCGGCTGAGGATCAACCAGGTCTTTGGTCATTTTTTTGGAAAAGCAAACTGTTCTTAGTTTGAGTTGGCTTGAGGAGTCAGCTCCAGAAGAAGGACTGAATGCTTAAGGAATCTCTAAATTCTTGAAAATATGATTTTCATTTTTTCTCTTGTGATTCTTCCAGTGTGGGTAATAGAGAAGGATTAATCCTGTCTCTCTTCTCTGGACCTCCACCAGAATCACAAATAAAAATATCTCTTATAGTACAACACTATTTCATTACATTCATACACTATGATTTGTTTAGCCATTCTTCAGCTTATGGGAATCCTTTTAATTTCCATTTTTTGACAGCATAAAAGAGCTACTATTAACATTTTTGAACAAGACCTTTTCTTCTTTCCTTGATCTATTCTGGGTATAGGCCTAACAGTGGTATATCTGGTTCAAGGGATATGCATTGTATGGTAACTGAGTATAATTTCAAATTGTTTTTCAGAAGACTTGTATGAACTGATACAGAGTGAAGTGATCAAACCAAAAAGAACTATTCATACTAAATATTATAATATTTTATAAAAGTCATCAATTTTGAGGTGCAATGACTATCCATGATTCCAGCAGACCAATGATGCACCATGTTGTCTACTTCCTGACACAGAAGTAGATTTAGGGTGAAAATGAGACATATTTTTGAACACAGAAAATGAGCAGATTTATTTTGTTTGATTATGGATACCTATTACAAGTAACTTGTTTTTCTTTTTTCCCAATGAGGTAGGTGTTAAGACAGAAAAAATAGATTTCTGTTAATTTAAAAAATTAATTTGGAAAGAGTAATGATAACTTGTGGCAGAAGCAAGTGCTCAGAGGAAACATGTGTATCCTGAGAAGATGATTCAAAGACAATACTTCCTGAACCCCAGACTCCCGTGTTCTCAATTTCCTAAAGAGCATGATTCTAAAATCCAACCTTCTAGAAGGAAGTTTTTGGGATAGCCCCAACTTAGAAAACTGCCTTTTAGGTAATTTCAAGTTTAGGATTTCCTGAATTTGAGAACTTTAGGCACTGAATTTCCTAGAGAGAGATCTATTGATTCATTGTGCTCCTTGCAGACAGAAAAAGACAGTCCATGTGATTCTCACATCACATCCTACTCAGAGCTAGGTAAGGAGTTCTGTTCTTTCTAAGAGAGCATTTCAATACCCTAACCAAAGATTGTGTTTGATTCAGAACTGGAGGCAGTAGAGACTCCATTACTCTGTCCGATTGCTGTCTCAAGGAGTATCCATCAATGACCACGGAAGCAGCATCAAGAAGTTTATTAGTAAGCAGCAGAAGGACATCCAATGCAGTCTATGAAACAGGAGTAGTATGGAGACATCTGTAACCTTATACAATTGAAGGTGTAAGCTATCCCTTTATGTAATTTCGCATGGGAGGGCCCTACCATAAATGAATATGTGCTTGATCAATTCTCTTCCCTTATACTATTTAATTTGGTGATCTCATCAGCCCTCATTGATTCAATTGTCATCTCTGCAGGTGACTTTCAGAAGTACTTGACCAACCTTAACCTCTCTGCTGACTTCTAGTCTCCAACTCCTCATTACATATGTCAAACTGGATATCCTGTAGACATTTAAAAATCAACATATCCCAAACAGAATTATTATCTTTCCCTTGAACTCTCTCTTCTTCCTAACTTTCCTATTACTATTGAGCATACCACCATCATTCCAGTCCCCTAGTAGGTATGTCGTCCTCAAATCCTTACTCTCTCTCACCCCCATCAATCAGTTGTCAAGTTCTATCATTTCTATCTTGGCAAGATCTCTTGTATATGCCCCCTTCTCTCCTCTGAACTGCTACCACCCTGGTGCAAGCCTTCCACACCTGGACTAATACAGTAGCCTGCTGGTTGGTTTCTTTACTTCAAGTCTTTCCTCTCTCCAGTCCATCCTTCAATCAGCTGCCAAAGTGTTCCTCCTAAAGTTCAGGTCTGACCATGTCACCTCCATACTCAATAAACTCCAATGGCTCCTTGCCACCCAAAGAATCAGATATTACCCCACTGTCACTCAAAGTCTTTCATAGCCTGCCCCACTCAATTTTTAATCTTAGACTTAACATTCCCTTCAACTTCCCTTTCTCTGTATTGAATTGATTTGAAAGCACAGAACATGTCTTTTGTTTATTTTGTATCTTACACAATGCAATGCTGTTATTTAGGACTTGTCAAATTAAAAAAGAGTTGAAAATTTAGTTTCAGATATTCACTTTCCTTCATAAAGACACTATCTTTACCTCCTCATGCTCACTCACCCAACATATCCAATCAGTTACCAAATCTTATCTACATTCTTCTACATTCATGATATCATATTTGTTCCACCTCTACTTACACAGTCAACATCCTAGTCTGGCTTTCATCACCTCTCATCTGAACTATTGCAATCGCCTCCTGATTAGTCTTCCTCTCTCCATTCTTATTTCTCTCTAATCTATCATTTATGAAACTGATAAAATTATCTTCTTAATGCAATGGAAGCTTGGGGCATGTCCAGATCTCATAACATGATGGCATTCTGATTCTAGGAGGAGATATCCTGTGTTCTTCTGCTACCTGAAGAGCAGCAGCTTCTTTTGGTTGGCTGCATACCTAGAAAAAATGGCAACCTTAAAACTCCAATCTCTCTTTCCTGAATATTCTTTTATGTTACATTCAGAGGGTGAATATCACACATAGGTCACAATTCTTATCCCTCTTCAAATCTTCTAAATGAGGCCTTTTCTGATCTCTTAATTGCTGTTAGAACTCTCTTTCCAAAGTTACTTTGTATTTATCATATGTGCATATATATATATATATATATATATATATATATATATGTGTGTGTGTGTGTGTGTGTGTGTGTGTGTGTGTGTGTGTGTATGTATATATTTGTACATACTTATTGATATACACAGGCAGCTAGGTGGTGCAGTGGACAGAGTGCCAGCCCTGGAGTCAGAAGGACTTGAGTTCAAATTTGGCCTGAAACACTTACTAGCTGTGTGATGCTGGGAAAATTACTTAACCTTGTTTGCCTCAGTTTCCTCATCTGCAAAATGAGCTGGAGAAGGAAATGGCAAACCACTCCAGTATCTTTGCCAAGAAAACCCCAAATGGAGTCATGAAGAGTCAGACATGACTAATTGATAAAACAACAACAACAAATTGATGTACATGTTAGAATGTAAATTTCTTGACAGCATGGACTGTTTCACTTTGTTCTTTGTATCCCCAGGACATAGTAAGTACATTGCTTATGCTGTGTGTTTATGGTGCTTGTGTGTTTAATTAACTCAATCTTAGAAGAGTTGTCTGAAGTTTAAATGATGTGAAGCATGGGAGTACAGAAAATTAAAGGGAAAAAATATAAGGCTGTCATACCTGTAATCAACATCAACATTAAAATTTGCTTTGGTCAGTTCATCCAGTGTCATGAGGGCAGGGAGTGTTTCACCTATTTCCCATTTAGTCCATTCAAAGAGTCCAGGTTCCACTCTTATTTTCAGTGATTTGTCCTGTTTGAGTTCTGGATTCAAAAGAAAACATGTTTTCTGGTGATTTGGGTTATATGTAATTGAACCTTAGATTCCAACAATTAGCATGTGAACATGCTCAAACATCATATTTTAAACAAAATAAGTTGAAAACAGTGATGCTCTCAAGATAATATTGCTGGGGAAAAAACCCAGCTGTACAACAAACCAAATCGTTGTGAAGGTAGTGAATGACCCCATAATCTCTATGTTTGTTACCATAACTTTATACCCAATAAATAACAGTGTCATTAGTGAGTCTAGTACAATCATAGACAACACAGGAGCCAGGAAGTTAACTGTGTAAATGGAATCATGGCAAAATGAAATTGGTACAATTTTATCAGTAAACTAAATGTCATTGATATAAGGATGACAATTGGTCCAGAGAAGAAATAAAACATTATCCAACCTAAGAAACTATGTAACTTGAGTGATGTACAAATGACCAACTATTAGCCACAGTATTTGTGGGTCATCTACAAGACAGTGTCTTAGTTCTCTGTAGGGCAGAATTTCTTTAGCAACAGAATATTTGATTAATACAATGGCACATGGAGAATAGCAACCAAGACAGAGCTGTTCCAAGGTAATTGAGATTTAATATTGATCTAATAGGTCTGTAGCATGTTCCACAGACAGTGATTCAATAGACTTGAGAGAGAAAGCAACCCTTTCTGTTGATGGAGCTGGCTTGACTTCCAAAGCTGGACCTTCTTGCCTTTGCTGCTGTGAGAGCAAGAAGCAGAGGTCCTCTGACATGGGACTAAGAGAAGAGGGTCACCCTTGCCCTAACAATAGGGATTATGGAGTAGAGCAACGTCAAAGAGATACCATTTCCTCTGCCCATCTTGCTAGCTACTCCCTTTTATGGCTAACCTCCTTGAAAAAAAACCACGTACAATCAGGAGCGTCCACTACCTTTCTTCTGACTCACTTTGAATACCTCTGGAATCTGGCTTCCAAACTCATCATTCAATTGAGACTACTCTCTCCAAAATTACCAATGATGTCTTTTTTCCTCTATCTTAATTTTAAAAATTATTATCATTTATTATAAACATTTGCTAAAACAATTGAGTTCCGAATTCTATCTCTCCTTCCAGTGCCTCCTCACTCATTGAGAAAGCAAGCAATATATACATATGAAATCATGCAAAACATATTTCCATATTAGCCAACCAATGATTCCTTAATTACCAAATCTAATAGTCTTTTCTCAATGCTAAGTACTTTCTCTTTGAGATGACCTCCCATTTTTTTGGAGGACAGGGACTATGTTTTTGCCATTCTCTACATCTTTTATGCGTGACACATAGTAAACATTTAATAAATACTTGTTAATTGACAGACTAGCCAAATTTAGGAGCCTGTTGAACAGTGGAGATAATATGCACAGTGTTTGGACAATTCCAGAATTGGCGTCGATCTGATTTGTGACCATCTCATGCCTATTATTGAGGGAATGAGTAACTTTCCTTTTTAGCAAATAGCCCCACAGACTTGTTGAGAACCTTATAAAGACAACCTGGATGCAGAGCAAGATGGTAGTGTAAAGGCAGGGACTCATCTGAGCTCTCCCAAATTACTTTCCAAACAACTTTAAAATATTGCCTCAAAATGAATTCTAGAGTGGCAGAACTGACTATGAGATGAAGTGAAACAATTTTCTAGCCGAAGACAACTTAGAAGGTCAGCAGAAAAGGTCTTTTTCACTGGGGTAAGAGTGGAGTGCAGTCCAGTGCAGGCCCACCCTGGGAATCGAGAAATATGCTTTGGCAGGTGGGCAGGGCACTGAATCAGTAGTGGCAGCATCTTGACCTCTCAGCTCACAGATGGGAAGGACAATTAGAAGGAGATTATAGGTCACACTTTGCTGGCATTGGGTGCAGTACTCTGTTACATTGCTCATACCCCATTCTGAGTACCAGTCCAAGGGTAAGAAGGAGCACTAGCACACTAGAGTATGAGGTCCCAGGGAAGTGGGGACTCTGGTCACAATTTCAGGGTAGAAAAGAGTGCTTGTGGTCATTTGCAGACCAGAGCACAGGCCAGGAGAGCTATAACCTCTCCTTAGATGAAAACATCTTGGAAGAACTGAAAACTTACAGACTCCCAGAACTAGTTCTGAAAATAGCAGAACAGAAAAAAATCTGAAGCTTGGGACAGTGCCCCTCACCCCAGGAGCAGAGACTAACTTTCACATAAAATTGAAAGTCAAGAAATAGGCTAGTATAATGAGCAAACAACAAGAAAAAGAACTCAACCATAGAATGCTATTATAGTATCAAAGAGTTATTTTATGGAGTAGAAAAAAAATTATAACAAAATTCATCATGAAGATGCCTATTATTGAGAGACTGGGTAACTTTCCTTTTTACTAAATAGCCCCACAGAATGGTTGAGGACCTTATAAAGACAATCAACTTGGATGTAGAGCCAAGGTTGTGGAGTAAAGACAGGGACTCATCTGAACTCTCCCAAATTCCCTTCCAAACAACTTTAAAATATTGAAATATTAAACATTTATTTATTAATATCAAATAATCATTAAAGAAATATTAAATAATAAAATATTAAAATATAAAGAGAATCAATGAAAAAAATTGTGAAAGAAGGGGGCCTAATAGTATCAGATCTCAAATTGTATTTCAAAGTGAAAACCATCAAAGCAATCTGGTACTGTCTAAGAAATGGAGTAGAACAGATTAGATAAACAATACACCATAGTAAATGACCATAGTAATCATAGTTTGATAAGCACAAAAATCAGAGCTTTTAGGACAAAAACTCACTATGTGACAAACATTTCTGGGAAAATCTAATAGCATTTAGCAGAAACTAGGCATGAACATCTTACACTGTATGTCAAGATAAGGTCACGTAAGGTGATTTAGACATAAAGGGTGTTTAGGAGAGCATAGAATACTTTTACTGTCAAATAAATGGACAAGAAAAGAATTTATAACAAAACAAGAGATAGAGAGCATTATGGGAAACAAATGGATAATTTTGATTACATTGCACAAAAAATCCAAATGCAGCTAAGATTAGAAGGAAAGCAGAAATTAGGAAAATTTTAACAGTAAGTTTCTCTAATAAAGGCCTCATTTCTTTTTTTAAATTTTTTTAAATTTTATTTATTTTGATTTATCAACAATAACTTCCATATGCTTTTGAGTTAAAAATTTTGCTCTGCCTTCCCCCCCGCTCCCCAAGATAGTGCACAATCTGATATAGGCTTTACATTTTCATACCCATTAAACATATTTTCACATTAGTGAAGTTGTAAGTAAAAATTAAAACCAATAGGAGGAACCATCAGAAAGATGAAACAAAACTCAACAGAAGGTAAAAATAAGTGATAGCTATTCAACTTCCATAGTTCTTTCTTTGGATGTGGACAGCATTTTCCATCCTGAGGCTTCTGGAGGTGTTTTAGATCCTCCTAATGCTGAGAAAGGTTCAGTTTAACAATATTAGTCATTGCATAACATGGCTGTTATTGTGTACAAAGTCCTCTTGGTTCTGCTCACTTTACTCAGCATCAGACCATATAAGTCTTTCTGGGTCTTTCTGAATTCAGCCCGTTCATCATTTATTATAGCACAATAGTATTCCATTACATTCATATACCACAACTTGCTCAGCCATTCCCCAACTGATGGGCATCCTCTCAATTTCCAATTCTTTGCCACCACAAAAAGAGCTGCTATGAATATTTTGTACATATGGGTCCTTTTCCCATTTGTTTGATTTCTTTGGGATATAGCCCCTAGAAGAGCTATTGCTGGATCAAAGGGTATGCACATTTTTGTAGCCCTTTGGTCATAGTTCCAAATTGTTCTCCAAAATGGTTGGATCAGTTCACAGCTCCACCAACAATGCATTAGTGTTCCAATTTTCCCACATCTTCTCCAACATTTATCATTTTCCTGTTTTTTCATGTTGGCCAATCTGATAGGTGTGATGTGGCACCTCACAGTTGTTTTGATTTGCATTTCTCTAATCAATAACGATTTAGAGCATTTTTTCATATGACTAGAGAAGGCTTTAATTTCTTCATTGAGAACTGTCTGTTCATATCCTTTGACTATTTATTAATTGGGGAATGGCTTGTAGTCTTATAAATTTGTCTTAATTGTCTACATATTTTAGAAATGAGGCCTTTATCAGAGAGACTGATTGTAAAAATTCTTTCCCAATTTTCTACCTTCCTTCTAATCTTAGTTGCATTGGCTTTGTGCAAAAACTTTTCAATTTAATGTAATCAAAATTATCCATTTTGCTTTTCATAATGTTCTCTATCTCCTGTTTGGTCATGAATTCTTCTGTTCTCCATAGATCTGATAGGTAAACTATTCCTTGTTCTCCCAGTTTACTTATGGTATCAACCTTTATATCTAAGTCCTGAACCCATTTTGACTTTATTTTGGTATATGGTGTGAGATTTGGGTCTATGCCTAGTTTCTGCCATACTCTTTTCCAGTTTTCCCAGCAGTTTTTTTTCAAAGAGTGGTTCTTATCCCAGAAGCTGGTCTTTTTTATCAAATAATAGATTACTATAGTCATTGCCTACTGTGTCTTGCATATTTAACCTATTCCACTGATCCACCTCCCTATTTCTTAGCCAGTACCAAGCAGTTTTGATGATTGCTGCTTTATAATACAATTTAAGATCTGGAATTGCTAGGCCATCTTCCCCTGCATTTCTTTTCATTAGTTCCTTGATATTCTAGAACCTTTTTTTTTCCAAATGAATCTTGTTATTATTTTTTCTAACTCTATAAATATTTCTTGGTAGTTTGATTGTATGGCACTATAATAAAATTAGCTTTGGTAGGATTGTCATTTTTATTATATTAGCTCGGCCTACCCATGAGCACCTGATGTTTTTCCAGTTATTTAGATCTGATTTTATTTGTGTGAAAAGTGTTTTGCAATTGTGTTCATAGAGTTCCTGGGTTTGTTTTGGGAGGTAGACTCCTAAATATTTTGTAATGTCTACAGTAAGTTTAAATGGGATTTCTCCTTCTATCTCTCGCTGTTGGGTAAAGGAATCATTTCTTAAATATGTAGGTAAATATGTCAGATGTATAAGAATACAAACCATTGCTGAATTAATAAATGGTCAAAGGATGTGAATAGGCAGTTTTCAGAAGAAGAAATCAAAGCTATCTATAGTCATATGAAAAAATCTTCCAAATTACTGTTAATTAGAGAAATTCAAATTAAAATAACTCTGAGGTACAACTTTGTACCTATCAGATTGGCTAATATAACAGAAAAAGAAAATAACAAATGTTGGAGAGAATGTAGAAAAACTGGGATACTACTGCATTGTTGATGGAATTGTGAACTGATTCAAATATTCTGGAAAGCAATTTGAAACTATGCCCAAAAAGCTATATAATTGTGTATACCCTTTGACCCAGCAATACCATTACCAGTTCTATATCCCAAAGAGATTTTAAAAAAAAGGCCTATACGTACAAAAATATTTGTAGCAACTCTCTTAGTGGTGGCAAAGAATTGGAAATTGAGGGGATGTCCATCAATTGGGGAATGTTTGAATAAATCATGGTATGATTGCGATGGAATAGTATTGTGCTATAGGAAATGATGAGCAGAATAGTTTCAGAAAAACCTGGGAAGACTTAAATGAACTGATGCAAAGTAAAGTGAGAAGAATTAGGAGAACATTTTTATACAGTAAGATTAATATGATACAATGAACAACTGTGAATGACTTAGCTATTCTCAGCACTATAATGATCTAAGACAATTCTGAAGGACTTATGATAAAAAAAAAATGCTGTTCATTTCCAGAGAAAGAACTGATGGAGTCTGACTACAGATCAAAGTATGCTTTTTAAAAACTTTACTTTTTAAAATTTAATTTTGGTTTTTTGGTCTTTTTTTTTTTGCAACATGGCTTCTATAGAAATATATTTTGTATGACTACATATCTATAATCTATGTCAAATTGCTTGCCTTCTCAAGGATGGGGAGAAGTGAGAGGAAGGGAGAGAATTTGGAAATTCAAGGAATGCTAAAATTTATTTTTACATATGATTTGAAAAAATGAGATATAAAAATTTAAAAAATAAAGACAATTAATCCTCACTATATTTATTATTCATAGAAGGGTTAATTGGAATCCCTGATGAGCAGGTAGTAACAACTGATGGGTAGTTTACTGAGGAGACTCTAGTTAAAAAAGGTATTGTCCACTACACAGCCTAAACTAGATGCTGGCTCAAAAAAAATTATAACATTTCTAGTGAAGAGGAATACTCTTTACCATAATTCAACAGGCTTGCCTAAGTTCAGTTCTGATAAACACTGAATACAGTAATTTTCTTGGCTAGTAAAATTGGGCCATAGAGACTCCTGGATTAAAGAGAAGTTCCCAAAGATCCCAGTAAAACTAATAGTTAGCCTTGGACCTCCACATGTTCAATTAACAAAAGTGTAAAGGATGAAACAGCTTTTTGTTTTGCTTATCTTCTCCTTTACTGGAAGTATCTTACTTTCCTTACAGTCTTGCTCTATTGAGAAATTTTAATTAGGATGATATCTCACAGTTTTTAGAAGTATGTTTTATAATTTATGATGAATGTTTTACATTACAATTATAATATAATAATAATATAATTCTGATTACTCTCAGAGAGTAGGTGTGGAGATCTCTCTAAATTAATTAACAGGTAATTCTCAGTTATGTTTGATTCTCTTCTGTCATTGAAAGAAGTAGTGTGGGGCAGAGGAAAGAACACTGGGCTGTATTCAGGAAGCCTAAGCTCTAGTCCTGTCTACCATTTACTAGCTATTTTAATTAGCTATGTAACCCTAAGAAAATAATTTAACCTCTTTGGGCCTCAACTTCCTCAACTGTTAAGAGAAGGGATCAGACTAGATGAACTCTAAGGTTCATTTTAGTGCTACCATTATAAAATTCTGTAAATAATCGTTACAATTTTTTTTTTAGGCAATTGGGGTTAAGTGACTTGCCCAGGGTCACACAGCTAGTAAGTGTCAAGTGTTTGTTCTGAGGCCAGATTTTGAACTCAGGTCCTCCTGATTTAGGGCTGGTGCTCTATTCACTGTGCCACCTAGCTGCCACCTAGCTGCTCCCTACAATGTTTGTAATGAAGTGATGGAAACTCATTTAAATATTTAACACTTACCTTCTAGGATGTGTTTTGCTGTCTGTATACATCGAAGTGCTGGTGAACAGTACATATAGCTAATTTTGATGCCACTGTTTAGTAGAGCTTCTCCTGGAAAACAAAAGACATTCAATTCCTCCTTTTAACCTAAATTTAACCGTGGATGAGTTATAGTTGTTTTCCTTCTATTGATCTATAGGGAAAAGAAATGGACTTAACTAAATTCCCTCTCAGTAAAATGGAAACAGGATATCTCTTGCTATAGATTCCCTCCCTTTGACAATTTTTGTTTTCATTAATACAAAAAACATACAGAATGAGTATAGGCCAGTAAAACTGATTTGTAGGTGGAAATTTGTGCTCATATACACACTCATCTACACAGTCACATGTACAGACACAAAGAAGTCAAACAATAGCTTGATGTGCTGCAAAGAAAGATTATCTGAATTTAAGGATATCTAGATTCTAGTTCTAGTTTAATGACTTGTAACAGGTTATTTCATTTTTGTGTGACTCATCTTTCTTATCTTTTAAAAAAGCTTATTTAAAAATTTTCAATTAATGAACTTTGAAAAATTAATTAATTTCTGCTACTTTCATTTCTCCTCTTTGAGCAGATAATAAAAAAAAGAAAATAAAAATAGAAAGTCCTCAATACACAACTGCATAGGTCAGCAAAAATGTATTTAGCTATGTCCAAAAATTATGTTTCTTTATGTATTTTAACTTCATCACCTCTTTTTTCAGGGGGTAAATGGTATGTGTCATCTTCGTTTTTTTTTGGAATTGTGGTTTATAATTGCTTTTATCAGTGCTCTAAAACTTTTCAATTTTTTCCCCCTCTCTAGAATGGTGTCATCCTTGTATAAATTATTATTGTAGTTTTGCCCACTTCACTCTTCATCAGTTCATAAAGGTTTTCCTGCTTTTCTCTGAAACTGTCCATATCATTATTTTGTATAGCACAATGGTATTCCATTGTATTCATATACCACTATGTAGTCTAACAGTAGACTCCCCTTAGTTTTTAATTTTTGGCAACCACAATAAGAACTGCTACAAATATTTTTGTACACAGAGATCCTTTTTCTCTTTGATTTTTTTTTTTTGTGGTTACAGGACTCATAGTCATATCATTGCATCAAATAAAATACATAAAATACAGAATGGTTCTATTTTATCATATAATTGTTGATAGCTTAAATGTCTTCCTTTTAAAAACTGTCTTTTCATATCCTTTGACCATTTACCTATTAGGGAGTAGGTCTTAGTGCTATAAAATTGAATCAGTTCCTTATGTATTCTGGAAAAGCGACCTTTATCAGAAAACTTGCTACAAAGATTTCCCCCCCAGCTACCTGTTTCCCTTCTAATTTTGTTATGTTAGAACTATTTGAGCAAAAACTTTTAAATTTTACATTATCAAAAATTTTCTGTTTTACCTTTTATGTTTCTCTTTATTACTTCATTAAACATGAAATATTTCCATATCCACAGATCCAAAAATGAATTTCTTTCTTCCTTCTCTAATTTGTTTAAGATCCAACTTTTTCTATTTATCTTTTATCTGTTGGGTGCTTATCTTGGTGTATGATGTGAGGACTTGATCTAAATCTTTCAGACTGTTAACCATTTTTCTTTGGAATTTTGGTCATGTGAGTCCTTTCCTAGTCTTTGGAATTACCAATTTTCCTCATCTTTTAAATAAGGATATCAGACCTGATATTCTCTAAGCTCCCTCTCAGGCCTAAAAGTCTATAATGGAGAAAGTAAAATTTTGAACATAATATTGAATTGAAGAAGTAATAGATTAAAAAAAGAAAGAACCCATCACTGCATTGGAAATGTAACTAAAAATACCACAAACCCAACAATTAAAAAAAAAACCAAACTTCAATTAAATACCAATATAGAAATCCTGAAAATAAATAAATTAACTAAACTGAAAGCAATAAATCATTGAACTGATATAAAACTAGGTGAAAAATGAAGTAATAGATTCTAAAGAAAAATAAATGTGAGGCATAATTTTATTTAAAAATTATCAATTGTATACAAAGTGATGAATCTCCTCACCTCTTTGTACTTTCTATACAGATAGTTTAAAATTTCCATTTTTGGTATTAATGCCACATTAAAGAAAAAATTTGATACATACCTGTAAGTCTGGACTGGAAAATGCCACAGGAAGATAAGGGTGGATCATTTTCAAAATTTTTGAGTCCATTCTTCCTTTCTGGCAGATTAGAAGGAAAGTTCATATCTGGTCTATAGTATTTTCCTAAGGTAAAAATTAGTGTTTTAGTTACAATTAATTTAATTAAACTGGTGAAAATTTGTATTTTAAAATATCTTACTATCTAAGCTCAAGATTCCAGATGTTTCAGTGGTCATCTAATCAAACTTATGCCAATTTTTTCTACAATGTGACTAACATGTAGTCATTAAACCTCTTCTCCTTTTGGAATTTATTTAGTATTTTATTTTTTCCCAGTTACATGTAAAAAAAATTTTTAACATTCATTTTTAAAACTTTGAGTTCCCTTCCTCCCTCTTCCCTTTGAGAAAGTATGCAATTTGATATAGGTTATACGTGTGTAGTCATGCAAAATATTTCCATATTAGTCATATTGTGAAAGAAAACATAGACCAAACAAAAAAAACAAAATGAAAAACTTCAAGAAAAATACAGAAAATAAAAAAAGTATGCTTCAATCTATATTCAGTCACCACCAGTTCTTTCTCTGGGGATGGATAGCATTTTTCATCATAAGTCCTTCAGAGTTGTATTGGATAATTTTACTGCTAAGAATAGCTAAATCATTCACAGCTGATCATCTTAGAATATTGCTGTCACTTTGTACATAGTACAATTCACTTTGCATCAGATCATGTAAGTCTTTCCAGGTTTTTCTGAGAGAATCCTGCTCATCATTTCTTACAGCACAATAGCATTCCATCATAATCACATACCACAATTTGTTCAACCTCTCCCCAGTTGACGGGCATCCCCTCAAATTTCCAATTCTCTGCTCCATCAGAAAAGAACTGCTACAAATATTTTTGTACATATAGGTCCCTTTCCTTTTTTTTTTTAAATTCTTTTTTGGTATCCAGAGCTAGTAGTGGTACTGCTAGGTCAAAGGGTATGCATAGTTTTATAGTCCTTTGGAGATAGCTCCAAATTGCTCTATGGAACGGCTGAATCAGTTCACAACTCCACCAACAGTGCATTAATGTCTCATTCCCCCCCCCATCCCCTCCAACACCTGTCACTTTCCTTCTCTGTCCTATTAGTCAATCTAATAGGCATGAGGTAGTATCTCAGAATTGCTTTAATTGGCATTTTTTCAATCAATGGTGAGTTAGACCATTTTTTTCATATGGCTATAGATAGCTTTGATTACTTCATCTGAAAACTGTTCATATCTTTTGATCATTTGTCAGTTGGAGAATGGCTCTTATTTTTATAAATTTGACTCAGCCTCTATATAGTTGAGAAATGAGGCCTTTATCTGAAAAACCTGCTTCAAAATTTTTTTCACAGTTATGATTGCTAACTGTACTTCTCTCTATCCTATTCTCTGCCCCTTATTTATTCTATTTTCTGTCCTTTCAGTCTGTCCTTCCTCCAAAGTGTTTTGCTTCTGACTACCCCTCCCCCAATCTGCCCTCCCTTCTATCACCCCTCCCCCACTTCTCTTATCCCCTTCCTCTCCTACTTTCCTGTAGGGTAAGATAGATTTCTATACTCCATTGAGTATACATGTTATTCCCTTTGAGCCAATTATGATGAGAATAAAGTTCACTCAGTCCCCTTCAACTCTCCCTCTTCTCCTCTACTTTAAAAGCTTTTTCTTGCTTCTTTTATGTGAGACAATTTACTTCATTCTATCTCTCCCTTTCTTTTTCTCCCATTTCATTCTCTCTCACTCCTTAATTTTATTTTATTTTACTTTTTAGATATCATCCTTTCATATTCAACTCATACCTGTGCCCTCTGTCTATGCATACTCCTTCTAACTGCCCTAATAATGAGAAATTTCTTATGAGTTACGAGTGTCATCTTCCTATATAGGAATGAAAACAGTTTAACCTTACTAAGTCTTTTATGATTTCCCTTTCCCGTTTACCTTTTTATGCTTCTTTTGAGTCTTGTATTTAAAAGTCCAGTTTTTTATTCAGCTCTGATCTTTTCATCAAGAATGCTTGAAAGTCCTCTATTTCATTGAATGTCCATCCCTCCCCCCACCTCATGAAGGATTATACTCAGTTTTCCTGGATAGGTGATTCTGGCTTGTAATCTTAGCTCCTTTGCCCTTCAAATATCATATTCCAAGTCCTTTGATCCTTTAATGTAGAAGTTACAAAATCTTGTGTTATCCTTACTGCGGCTCCACCATACTTGAATTATTTCTTTCTGGCCGCTTGCAATATTTTCTCCTTGACCTGGGATTTGGCTATAAATATTCCTGGGACTTTTCATTTTGGGATCTCTTTCAGGAGGTGATTGGTAGATTCTTTCAATTTCCCTATGGTTCTAGAAGAACGCAGCAGTTTTCCTTGATAATTTCTTGAAAGATAATGTCTAGGCTCTTAATCCAATGCTTCCCCCTTCCCCCCAAATATTCATCCTTTTAAAAAAAATATTCAGGCCTTGACTGTACTTCTCCTAGCTGAGGTCCATTTGGGTCTTGGCGCTGCTTGCCTCATGGCCTGGGTTCGCCCTGTGCTTCGGCGCTTAGGGAGTGACGGGGGCCTGGAGCCTTGTTAGGCTCAGGTTGCTGTCTGTGGCAGAGCCTCGGGCTGTGGACGGTCTCTTCCCATGCCCCTTTCCTCCATCCCACCCCTCTCCTCACAGAAATCCAGCTGTTGAGGAAGGAGAAAATAGTTTCTCTGTTAATCCCTCAGCTTCCAGTGACCAAATGAACAAGGCCCCAGTGGTGAAGGCAAAGCTACGCATCTCATCATGAATTCTCTGATTACAAAACAGACACAAGAGAGCATCCATCACTTTGAACAGCAGGCAGGGTTGACAGACGCAGGATACACTCCCCATAAAGGCCTCACCACAGAAGAAACCAAGTACTACCGTGTGGCAGAGGCAGTCCATAAATTGAAGTTACAAAATGGAGAAATGGCAAAAGAAGATAGACTGACTGCTTCAACCCAGTCTTCTCCAAGTAGTACACCCCATTCTTCTCCCAAGCAAAAGCCTAGAGGCTGGTTTACTCATGGATCTTCTACTTCCTTACCTGGACTAGATATCTGCAGCATGGACTCTGAGAATGGAGATAGAGACAAACCCTCATCTGAAAAATGGAGCCTTTTTGGACCAAGACAAGAACCCTTCATAAATCCCACTTGGGTTTCAGTGTCCAGTCCTACAGAGGTACTCAGAAGCCATCACCAATGGAGATCTTTCAGGTTCAGGCTACTAGAATTGCAGAAGACCCAGCAGCATTCAACCCACCTAAGATGGACCTTCCCATGATGGAAGGAAAGAAACCACCTCCACGAACCCATAACATCAAACCAAGGGACATGAATGTGTTGACTCCTACAGGATTCTAAAGCTCCCCTTTTCATATGAGCAAAGTTGCTTTCCCTGCTGACCACTGTTATGTAGAGAGAGAGTATCTTAGACTTTTCTTTTCTTCCCATCCATCTTGCACTTGACATAGGAATGATGTCATTCATTTACAATTCTGCTGAAGATAATATTCCTGGGGAAGTAGTGATTGTTTCTTTTAAATATTTGTAGCAAAGCTTGAATCCTTCTAATGCAGACAAACCTATTCTGTAATGTCCCAAAGTTGGTCTGAATAACTTCTCAAAGTACACTTGATCACAGCCAGTTACTGATCTATAGAACTAGATTGCAGGGGATGAGGGAAATAATTAAAGTCTAGTAGACTTTGTTCTGCATATTTTACCCAAGATAAAAAAAAATTAAAAAAAATATTCAACTTTTTTGACATTCCTGCAGCACTGGAAACAACCACTTCTCCTGGATACTAGCTTCAGGTTTTTATGGCACTATTCACTCCTGGTTCTTTTCACACTAGTCAATCTCTTCTTCTCAGTCTCTGTTGCTAGGCCATACCTCCTAACTGTGAATGTAAATCTCATTTCCCCTAGATCCTTTTCTTTCTTTACACTTTCTTGGTGATCTTATCAGATCCCTTGAATTAAAGTATCAGTATAATGTTGTTGTTTAGTCATTTCAGTCATGTCCAACTCTTCGTGACTCTACTTGGGGTTTTCTTGGCAAGGATACTGGATTGGTTTGTCATTTCTTTCTCCATTAGTAACTTGCCTAGCATCACACAGCTAACTAGTGTCTGAAGCCAGATTTGAACTCAGGTTTTCCTGAATCCAGGCCCAGAGCTCTATCCATTGCATCTCCTAGCTGCTCTATCAATACCATAGGTGATGGCAAAATTTACCTTTTTAGTTCTCTGAGCTCTATTTCTGTATCAACAACTGATTGGTAAATGTTTTCCCTTATATGCTATGCAAGGCAACTCAATATTAATGTGTATAAATTGAATTGTTTTTTCTGTAAAATCTTCCCATCCTCAAAGCTTCCATATTTCTGTTTAAAGCATGACCATCTGCCAGTCATCTAGTTCATAATCCTAGAGCCATCTTCAATTCTTCCATCTCACTAGCCATTCCCACACTTACCCCTATCCAAACTAGTTATCAAGTTTTTTTCATTTCTTTTCCCACAATATTTCTTGAATCCAACTCCCTTTCTTTAAGGGAGTCCAACTCTGAACTGGACCACTTCAGTAACCTTCTACCTGGTCTTCCTTTAGTTTCTCCCTTTATTTTCTACATAGGTGCCAAAATAATCTTCCTAAAGTACAGGTCTGACTATGCCATTCCCCTGCACGAGAGATTTCATCTACTCCCTACTGCAAACAGGAAAAAATGCAAACTAAAACCCTTCACAGGCTGCTTCCAAACTATCTTTCTAGAGTCTAGAATCTAGACTATTTTCATGTTACTTCCCCTCATATACTTTGTATTTCTGCCAAACTAGTCTACTTACTAGTCCCCAAATGTGACACTCCTTTTGTATTGTCCATGCCTTTCCATAGGCTTTCCTCCAACCTGGAATATTTTCCCTCTTTTGCCCTAGCTTTTGGAATCTCTAGCTCCCCTTAAGACTTAGTTTAAGTGCTGCCTCTTATGGAAGGTCTTTTCTGATCTCCCAAGGTGTTAATGTTAGTTATATATGTGTATACATACACACACCTATGTATATATGTATTTACTTATCTGAGTACATGTTATGTAAGCTCCTTGAAGGGACTATTTCCTTTTTGGTCTTTGTATTCCTTTAGCATTTAGCATAGTGTCTAGCATAGCAGACATTTGACAAATTGCTTGTTGATATTAATTTAATTGAAAATCATTTTCTGTGTACTTTTGCCCATTAGTTAGTTACTAGTCCTGTTTCCTAGGATCAAGCAGTATTAGCTTATTTCTTCTCCCAAATGACAGTCTTTGAAATAGTTCAATTGGTTGATCAAACCAAACATGTCTTAAGCACCAGGATCACACACAATGTGATATCTTTCTAAAGTCTTTTCTTCAACAATGTCAATTCTTTTAGTGGATTCTCAAGTAAACTAGTTTTGAGTCCCCTAACCATATTTCCTGATGTCCTCTAGCTTCTCAATGGCCTTACTAAAATGTGATAACTATAGCAGGATACAATACTCTAGAAGTGGTCTGACCACATAAAGCAGGGTTATCACCTTCTTTTTTCTGTACGTTCCTTAGCCTAGGATTACAGTAGCTCTCTTTGATTGCTTCCTGATACTACTGGCATGTATTGAGTTTGTAGTCCATTGAAACTTACAGGCCTTTTTCACATGAACTGTCTTCAAGCTGAATCTTCTGCACATTGCTCTTGATTAGGTGGTTTTTAAAGTATGAGGCCCGAAGAAAATAGTCAGCTCTCCAGAAGAGTTTAATGTTTAGAACAACATAAATTATAGCTGAATTTTGTGTGGAGGCTAGATAGGTGTGAGATACTAAAGTAGCTAGGGGGAAGGAGAATATACAAGATCTTTCCTCAATCTTTTTAATTTCACTGGTTATTTTTTTTCCACGGTGTGCCTAGCTGTTATCCCACTACCCATCTATAAGCTCTATTCTTTGTACTCCCTTTAGTATCTAGCAGAATGTCTAGAATACTGTAAGCGCTCAATAAATGCATAGAATTTTTGTTTGAAGAAGCATTTCACTGTAGTCTTACATAATACAAATTGCAAGTTAGCAATTGAAGTGTTTTTAGCTCTTTTTGGAGTTGTTTCCTACTTACTACCAAATGCTTATTAACTTGATAAAAGGGATGATAGGTTCCTCAAAGGAATTTATGTGTATTGTGGATTTTAATGTACAACAAAATAGAACATACTTCACCTGAGATGCCCAGATTACTTCTGATTACTATATTTCTAAATTCTAAAAATTCCTCTTCCTGCTATGTTTCATGTACATAATATACGTTTTATAATGATTTTTACCTGAGATGCTTGGATTAAGTTCCCAAAATTCCTCTCCGTATTACACTGTACAGAAGATAAATTAAAATGAACATTCTTGTAGTACAAAATACAATGAACTGCAAGTCAGATAACTGGGTTTGCAGCTCTGCTTAGCCAATCACTAGCCCAATGACAAACCACCTCTTTGGGCATTATCATCGGTGAGTAAGAGCAAGTAGATCTGGTTGATGGTAAGCATTGCTCCTGGTGAGGAGGCTTGTAATATTCAGCAAATTCTTCCTGTTTTCACTATAATTTTATGTTGTGTAGTTAACAGTGTCATTAATGGCATGGTTATTTTTATTGTTGTTGTTTGTTTTCAGGCGAGGGTGGAACCATGATGTATCCAGAGTGGGAAGGAGGACTCAGAGTATTGTGTAAGTATTTTGAACCTAAAGTGAAGTAGAATCTAAAGGTGCCAATTTGAGGCACTTGCCATATAATGTACAATGTGTACCAAATAATGAAGAAACTGGTGTAATAGATGGAGAATTGATTTCAACATATCAATCTAATTGGATCCAGAGTTTGACTTAACCTACCATCTATAGTTGAACATTGCTGCAACCAAGACTTCCCAAAGATCTGATCTACCCTTTCCCCATGACGCACCACCAAAAGGCTTCTTCTATGTGTCAGTACCTGAGAAAATAAGAAAGAAAAAAATAGTATTTCAACATCAAACATTTGCTATAGTAATTTAAGCCCTACATTTGTGTAGTGCTTTTACAGACTATCAAATGCTTTTTACATTTTTCGTCCTCAAATCCACTCTGTGAGGCAGGTGAGACAAGGACTGTTATCTTCTTTTTACAGAAGAGAAAGTGCAAAGTGAAAAAATGTGAAAAAAGACAAAGTGAAAACCTAAGTGTCTTACACAATATCACACAACTAGTAAGAAGGACTTGAACACAGGTCTTGTGATTTCAAACATTCTTTCTAAATTCTTTCTATAACTTAACCCCAATTGCCTTAAAAAAAATCCCTTCTAAAACCAAACTGCCTTATCTAAGAGTCATTACTTCTAATAATATTGCAGCACACTGACAAAGAAATAGGACTTTCCTTTCGTAGGGACTTTTCCTCTATAATTATGGTGAATTCTGCTTAGGTCTTCTTTACTTCCCAAAGGTTACTTTTCACAGCTTCCAAAGAATTGGAAATATTAAAAATAGTATTGAAAATTGTGGCCTCTTAGCAAGACTTTGAATTGTGCATGTTCTGCCTCTTTTCCTTTATTTTCTCAGAGAAAATTCTTTACTTCAAGGACCATTTTGAGGATCATTCCTCAAAAGACCATTCCTCTATTGACTGTGTTAGAATTTATCTAAAAGTTTTTTAAGGGTCACATTTAGGACACCAACAATTATAGTTTTGCTTTCTATTTCTCTCAGCAATTCAGTCAAGTTTTCATTCAAGCCAAGAGCTTAGATATCATGCTATCTGGCATTTATATATTAAGTATTGGTTTCATTTAATTTTCTCTGATGCTTTTATGTATTACCACACTTTCTCTGCTTATTTCTTTTAACCATGTTTTTTTTTTCACTGTTGCCTTGCCTGAGATCATGATTACTACCTCTGATGTTCTGAATTTTTATAAATTATATTAAATTATGCTTCAGCAACTCATTTTGTGCTTTTGTGAATCTTCAGGTTTTGTGTTTTTTCCTTTCTATGGCACTACTTCTTGTGGAGTTACTCTCTCATTGGGGTTTTACCTTGGGCTTTTTTAAGGCTTAGCACTTCATTTTGTTTGTTTTGTTCTTTTTACTTATGCTTTTTGTCATTCTTTTTTTTTGGGGGGGGGATCTTGTGCTTGGGCTAGCCTCCTCTGGTGTTTTTGAATGGGTTGATTAAATCTTGTTTAAGTCCATCTGGTTGCCTCTAGTGATGCCATTTCAGATAGGGTGCCTGGTGTTGGGCCCAATGTGTGCCTGATTCCTTGGCTTTGGTCTTAATCTCCAGTGGTCTACTGAGGGTACTAGTGTCAGCTGGTCTTTGTCTTCTCTTTTCACAATCCCTAATCAGGAGTTGAAAGCATGACCTTCTGGGTACCTGACTCATTCCAGTACAGTATTAAGGATCCTACTGGTCTCAGGTCTCCTGCACAGCTATAGGGGTACTGATTCCTTGTTGTTGAATTGGCCCTGTCTCCTGCTGTGGCTCCCAGTGCTTCCAGGAGTATATATGTCAGGCCTTTGGAGTCTGGTTCTGTCCTCTTCTGATAGTCTAGGGTAGGGGTGAGAAAACTGCAGCCTCAAGGCCACATGTGGCCTTCTAGGTCCCCTAGTGCAGTCCTTTGACTGAATCCAAACTTCACAGAACAAGTTTGAATTCAGTCAAAGGGCTACATGTGGCCTTGAGGCCACAGGATCCCTACCCCTGGTCTGGGGCTAGGATCTGGCTTCAGGTAACTACTTATTGTCTTGCAATTTCCCTTTTCAGTGCCTAACTTTCAGGTCTATTTGGTGGAGCAATTCCTGCTTTCCCTAGTGTGACCCCTCTCCCTAACTCTTTACTCTTCTGTGTTCACCAGAGCACAGGTTTCCCTGATGTTGAATTCCCTACCAATATTGACAAGCTTCTGGTCATTGTTTTGTTTATTACTGGACTCGATTAAAGAACTTATTTCTGTTTCTTTTTTTTTGTAATTGGTATTTTTGGGCTCCTTTTCAGATATTTGCTCAGGTTAATATGGAAGAAATAGACTTCTTTGCGACATTTTACATTGTTATCTTAACCAGATGTCTCCTTTTTCAGTTTCTAATTTTTATATTCTTCCAAATCAATTGTATTGCTATTTTCTCTATTTTTTTAAAAAAGTGTTCCCTCAGCAATTTGATTGGTATATATAGTTAGGTGGTACAGTTTCCTAATTTCCTAATGTAACTGATTGGCGAATGAGCCAATGTAATCTCCGGGCAGACTTTAGGGCAAGTGTAAATATTGGTTTTATTCTGCTACCACATGACTAAGCACAGTTTTTCTATTGACTGCTGAACCAGAATTGAAAATTACTTCAAAAGGCACTAAGGCCTTGCGTCTTTATCTCACCAGTGGCACTGCTACTACAAGGCCCATGTGTACATAGTTTTTCTGTTAATTCTCTGTGGTGTCTATTCTTTTCTGATCTTAGATGAAGGAGTATTATACTAGGTTTCAATCTTGTGAACTTTGAAAAGTCAGGAGATTAAACCACCAGAAATCCAGAAGCCAGAATTTGAGGTCTACCAACACAGCCCTGAGGAGCATTCAGGGCCCAGCTCAGCAGTGGATTGATCCTTCAGTCAGATATGGAGTCTTACAAGAGGGTCAGATCATGGAAGACAGGATCTTCCTACACCATTACAGTGATTTCAAAGTTGATTGGGCTGGCTCTGAGAGTCCCCTTTCCATAAAAGTCTTCAAGAAAAGGCTTAATGAATGCTTCTCTAGTAATGTTGTATTCTCGTACAGGTATGGTTTGACCTAAGTATCTTAGAAGGTTCGTTCCAACACTAATATTCTGTTAGTTCAGTTCAATTCAGAATTCTACTTCTGCAGAGCTGCCATTTTTCCTGTGTTATATCTGCTGTTCTCTGATGCATTTGGCTTAGTGTCCAAGTGTCTATGAAGTGTCTATATCGAGACACTTTTTTTCTTCTTCCATTTCCAATTTAAAGACATCTTAATCAGATCAACGAACTTTTACACCCAAGCATTCTCTGTGACTCACTTTATATTTACCCTTTCCCTAGCCAAGAGCCCATAATTACACAATCTTATGCCAAATTCAGTTCTCTGTTACAATCTTTGTTCATCTCACTAGTAGCTCAGGTATAAAAATGCCAAGTATTATTATTTGGGAAAAAAGTCCAAATATAAAGAAGATCCATTTCAAATGTGACCAGAAGGATGCAGGACGGGTATTAGGTAATTAGGCTTTATGTCTCATCAACAGTGTAAAGTTTCTATTGCTAATACAGTGCAATTTCTAAGGTAATATTAAAAAACAGAGAATATATCAATGTTAAAAAATGAGACGGACTTGATAGAGCACATTTTACATGAATTTTCCTTACAAGTATAATATTTCATTCAAATGTGTGGCTGTCAACATATAAGTAGTTTTAATATGAAAATTTTGATTACCTTCAAAGCCTGTATTTTGCTTGCTTTTGTTGTCATTAATGAATGATGGAATTTAGAGTTCATTGTAGTACTGTGTTCACTGTCCTTGGGGTCTAGACCAATGGCTAGACTAAATGTATAAGTTCTGTTAGAAATATAGAAGCAAGAGAGATATTGAGAAAGTCAGTCAGAGGTTTGGAGTTTGTGTCTTAGAAAGTAGCACTTATCATAACATTCTAAACGTATCATTAGCATCAAAAAATATTTGTGATGCATGCTTGCACATAACTGTATGTTTGGTGTTTAATAAAGTCTGCTGTCTTGAAATCTTAGATTATCATTACTAAATTCATTCAACAAGGCATTTTGTCAAGTGCTTACTATGTGCACTGTGAAGGATACAAAAAGAATAAAGCATTGTTACTGATAAAATCATTATTATAAAAGGTAGAAAGTCCTACTCTACTGACTTATTATAAGGTGGAAGTGACCCTCAGTTCTCCAAGGCTAGGAAATGAGAGTGCACGTTCTAGGTTTTTCTAAGCTAGAAAGGATTTCAAGCGTGGTCCTAGTGATGGACTTTGTTCACTTTCTTGCTCACCTCCTCTCTAGTAGTTAGACTAGTAAGTAAGTAATTCTTTGGCCTTAGCAATCCATGAAACAAGGTTAGGAATATGAAAATGCATTGAGATGTGACATACTATAAGAGTTCAGATGACAGAGAATTCCATTCCATTTAGACATCGGGAGGCAGGGAAGATTATCACAGAGAAAATATTTGATCTGGGGCCTTGAAGACAATCAACAATGAACAAATGTAGTAAATACCTAAGAAAAGTATTTATCATATGGGTAAGGAAAGGTATAAAAACATTTAGTCAAGTGGTTTGACTAAAAAGCCTTTTTTTTATTCAACTAAAAAGACTTATCTGAAGAAAGGAAACCTTATCAGTATTTATTCAAATTCTCAGGAAACAATGCCTTCCATTGAATCCTGTTCCTAAGGGAAAAAAAGAAAGCTAACATCCTAGAAAATGGATTATGGGTGCTAATCAGATACAGAACAGAAATATTTTAAGGTATGCCTTTTCCTATGCTTAGCACAAGAGCCCTGGACAATGACAGCACCCCCCTCTCCTCCCCCCTGAAACTCACAGCCATCATTTAGCGAAGCAGCCGGTCTTGAGATATAGCCTGGCATATTTTCCTGCAGGTGCTACTGAAGACCCAGAAAAGAAAGTTCTTGATAACAAATTTGGCTCTGTGAAATGGTTCAATATCAAAAACTACCATGTTTTTATCAGTGGAAACTACATTAAAGAAAAGGCATTATCACATGCTTTGCTCTTGTGCCCTAGAGACCATGGGACCTTTTCTTTCTGACATGCAGCTGAAACTTTCCATATGTATTATCACTCCCATTAGAATGTGAGCTCCTTGAAATCAGTGACTGTCTCCCTTTTCTATTTTTATTCCCAGTGCTTAGCACATAGACTTCTTTCATTTGTTCATTCATTCATTCATTCATTCATTCATTCATTCATTCATTCATTCATTCATTCATTCATTCATGCCCTGAAGGGATTAGGGTAATGATTAGATGGAATAAATCTCTTAATTTCTTTATTTAGTAGAAATACTTCACTTTTGAATAGCTACAGAGGAAAATCCTTGAAGAGTGTAGTCAAAGGGGGATTGAATAATGTTAGAAAAATTATTCTCCCAGAGTGTGCCAAAAATTAAGTGACTCTTGTGTTTGGTGACACAAATTGTTAACTAAATGTTTACCTTACCCTATTCTCCATAACTATATTTCGTGTTGTGAAATTTTCTCATTTGACAATAATATAGCTTGTTACTTCATTTTATGTTGTTTTTTTTTTTGGTTAGGCAGTGGGGTTAAGTGACTTGCCGACAGTCACACAGCTAGTAAGTGTTCTGAGTCTGAGGCTGGATTTGAACTCAGGTCCTCCTGAATCCAGGGCAGGTGCTCTATCCACTTCACCAGCTAGCTGTCCCCTTTTTGATTTCATTTTAAAGTGATTTGTTTTAGAAAGATGTTTGAGGGCACAAGGAAACACTCTCAATTTGTACATTTCTCTCTAAAAAGAGAAGTGCTTCCATTTAGAATATACTAAGATCAATAGAAATTGTTTCTGAAAGGCTTGTGCCTACATCAGAGCATAACATTTTTTTCTTTGATAATAGTGAGTGAAGAGTGAATGTTTGAGGGAAGTGTTACAAAGTAGATAGAATTTAGGAGCTTCTCAAGTGGTCACAGGTAAAGAACTTGGTTGATTGAGGGTATGAGAGAGAATGACAACCATAATGAATAAGGGGGCATGAATAGACATTGGGAAGAAATTTTGTTGAACTAGAGTCGTATTTTTTTATGTATAGCAGTATAACTCCAAAAAGTCGTAGAAACATTTGAGGCTTATGTCCTCTGATAACTGCGAATAAGACTGAGAAGTGTGTTCTTAGGCTATTTGAGTATTATAGAAGGAACTGGGTGTATAGCTTGGACAGATGCTACATGTGGACAATTAACTGGCCCCAAAATTTAACAAGAAGACAGTGATCAGGATTATCTTTGGGACACTTTATAGTATCTTAGTCACCCTAAAACAAACTTTTCCCTGAAACAAAAGTCCACCTTTTAAAAAAAAATTAAAATATTTTTCTGATGGTGGTTTATGAATCCAAATCATGCAATATAAAAATTTTCAAAGAATTAAAATTTAGGGTTAACTAAAGAGCAATACTGGTGGGCATATACTGCTACATATTACTAACCAAATCTTATTAAAGAGAAGTGGTATTAAGAATGCATTCAAAAAGACTGCAAAGGAAGGTGGGTCAATTAAGTGGTAAGAATAGAAGCATAACTGATACACAACCCTCATATACTACTGGTATTCCAGCAAGGCCAAGAGAATTAGAGAAAGGCCCCTAGAAATTCTGATGGACCCACTCAGGAGGATTTATGAGAAGGTACATATGATTCATAAAGGAGAGAGCAACACAAAGACTTGACATTCTTCATTATTGGAAGAAATTCACATTGATGAAATCACAAATGCATTAAAGTATAGAAACACCTTTAATTTGGATAATATTTTCTAATTTACTAAGTGCTTTCACTTATATTATTTTCTTTAATGGTTATAAAACTTAGTAGTGACATTTTTCGAACAACGAAATTTGCATTTTTCAATGATGGCTGCAGAATCTCATGAGCAAACCAGGGAATTTACTGTAAACTTACACAAACCAATAAGGAAAAATGAACAATTTAATAACAATGAGATTATTCTAAAGCCAACACATGCGCACACACATATATTTAGCCCAGTTTTGGGGATGCAAATAATATGCAAGTAATAAGAAAAGAATACATTCTCCCTCTCATAAACATACACAAATGTACTCTAACTTGAGCTGTAATTGCCACTCAAAGGCAACGTTTACACTCACCTGTGTTTAACCCAAGTATCAGATTCATTGGCTCTCTCTGTGTAGTTCTCAGGCACGAAGCCCCTGCAGCCTGTTCGGTGGGAGATCCCAATCACCCAGCCTTCACTGGCTTCAGCTTGCTGGGTTCGATCAACAAAGATGTAGTCGCCTGCAGTGAGCATCAGCTCATCCATGTTCTGAGGTTTATACTGGAAGAGTGCTCTCAGTGTCTAGAAAAGTAGGAAATTCTTTTTAGGACTTGCAAAAGAGTTTGCATTAGGGAATAATTGCAACATACACAAATCAAGACTTCTTTAAAATTCTTATATCCAGAATCAAAACAATATGGTATATAAATAAGCAGTGTCAAATTCCAAATACAGGCAGCTGGGTGGCACCCTGTATATAGTCAGAAAACTTATTTTCGTGAGTTCAAATCCAGCCTCAGACACTTACTAGCCTGGGCAAGTCACTTAATCCTGTTTGCCTCAGTTTCCTCATCTGTAAAATGAGCTGGAGAAGGAAATGGCAATCTGCTACAGATTTGCCAAGAAAATCCCAAAGGGAGTCATGAAGTGTTGGACACAGCTAAGAAAATGACTAAACAAAAGTCAAATTCAAATGGAAATGGGGGCCACTAAACTGCACATAAGGATCTCCCTAGGCCACATTTTGACTTAGTTTTAAAATGTAATATTGTCTATGTTTCATTGTATTTTTATTTTACTAAATATTTCCCAATTACATTTTAATCTAGTTTGAGCCCTACTCCAGAGGGTTGTGTGCTGCATGTTTGCATAGATGATTGTGTGGGGAAAAAAAGCGACAAAACCACACCAAAAATACACATAATAAAAAGAGGTCAGAAGGAGCCATGAAAACAAACAGGAAGTTTTGGTATTATTTTGTTTAAGTTAATATGTACTTTATAAACTAGTTTAAAATAATCCAAAGTTTGTAGTTTTATGTATGATTTCAATTTTTAAAATGTTTATTGGATGTTTCTTTTTTTAATTAATGATTAGTTACTAAGTATAGAATAAAAACATTACCGTTTAAGTAAATAATGAAGTACTGCTATGAATTCCTATACGCTATGATATAGCTTGTCCCCTCCAAGATCATTTCAAAATCTGGATAAGATTTAAACAAAAATCATGCTTGGGCTATCAAAAAATCTAACAAAATGTTCCTTCCATAGCTGATGAATCATAACTCCAATGGGAGTTCCGAAATAAATGTTGGTAACCACATTTTGACAGCTGCCTCCGTCTAATAGGAAATGTCTAGAAATATTATTAGATTTTCAGACACCTTTCAGCTATTGGCAACTACTTGACATGGAGAATAATAAATTATTAAGATACACAGAATATAATAACAAATAAGATTTATATTGTACTTTAAAATTTCCAGAGTACTTTACACATATGATCTCTTTCTATCCTCATAGCAATCTCATACTTAGATCTGTGGTACCACTGGTAAAGGGAATCAATTCCTGGCAAGGAGACTTCTACTAATATAGATTGACCACTTCTCTGCAATTTATAATTTAATGACCACTTCCAGAGGCAGCACGGCATGGTAGATGCAAAATTGGACTCAGAATCAAGAAGACCTGGGTTGAAGTCTGAAACAAACCATCTGTATGATGCCAGTCAGGTCACTTAACCTCTCAGTGCCCTTTGCCTATGTGATATTTTTCTTTTTTAGGCAATTGGGGTTAAGTGACTTGCCCAGGGTGACACAGCTAGTAAATGTCAAGTGTTTGGTCAGAGGCCAGATTTGAACTCAGGTCGTCCTGACTCCAGGGTCTGCGCTGCTGAGCCACCTAGCTGCTCCCCCCATGTGATATTTTTGAGATAGTATAATTTCAATCATCTCCCCAAAATTCTCTAAGACCAAAAGTATTATTAATCTCCATTTCACAGGTGAGGAAACTGAGGCTCAGAGAGGTTAAATTATTTGTAATCTGTTAAATTATTTGTAAGTGTGGTATCAGAAGTAGATGTGAACCTAAGTCTTCCTGACTCTCCACTATGCCAGGCTGTACATCAGTGGTGTCAAACTCAAATAGAAATAGGGGCCACTAAACCATACATAAGGATTCCTGAAGACTGCAAAAAACAAATAAACACAAATTAACAAGTTGTGCAACCAGTGCAGCATTGATATCATCGGTATCAAGGAGTGACCCTTGGGGAATGACCCTCAGTACCCAGACCAGAGTAGCTGAAACAAGAACTGATCCAGTGATCAGGCCACATGTGGACATGAACTTGGTGATACCAATGGCAGATCGGAACTGAGCTGAATGGGTCCCTGAGGAGTTGTGGGGAAATGTTTGCATGTTTATCCTTTCTATACCTTTGAAGTGAATACCTTTTTAGCAGCTAACTGGTATTGATTAGTTAAATGGAACTGGGGCAACAGAATGGGGGAGGGCATAGTTGTGGAGATTCAAGCCAATGAAATTAGAGAACCTCCAACCCCTCAGGGTACTCTAGAGCCCTGAGGAGGAGATGTAGCCAGAGACTGAGAGAAGGAAACAAACAGAGTGTACCTGATAAATATCAACATCAACATAGCTGGCCAAGACTGAGGCAAGAAATTTCTGTATGTTAGGAATGGGGGTTCTAGAGTTATATATTGTTCAGTTAAATAAAAATTGGAGGAAATATGTTGCATGTCATGTCACAGATTTATTTAGAACCCAGCTCAGTGAGTTTCATTCCTGCTGAGTCTTTTTGAATCCCACAGTTTAGCAGCATTTGTATTATGTAGCATGCTTTCCTTCTAACCAGTTGGCATATGGCAAAAAGGTGCTGAAGGCTATACTGTGCACAAAAATTTATTGCAGGATGAGATTTAATCAGCTACTCCCTGTTAGAATTATTAGCTTTATTTATTTATTCTTTTAAACTAGAGACAATATAAAACACTATCAGGTTGACATAATCATTTGCTATTCTGCTTTAGAGAGTTTATACTAAACAAAAATTTAGAGTATAATCAAAATAGTACATTAGGAAAATTCCTAATATTTAGACATAGGTGTGGCTCCCTTGCCTAATTTGAATTTAGTGATTATCTCTAGCTAACCTCTGGCGTCTTGATGATTGAGGCAAAAATTCAGATTATCCAAAATTCTAGTATCAAGAAAGAAATAAAGTTTGTCACAGTATCTATTAATGGGCAGGGAGGGCAAGTCAGGGGAAGAATAATTATTTCTTAGAACTCCCTCATTCCTTGAAGATGTGGATACAACCAGTAGCTTCAACCCAAGTCTTCTACTCCAAAATTCTGTATAGGTTAATGGCCCTCCTCAATCTCTTTCTTCTCTGCCACAGTTGAGGAAACTTTTTCTTTTCCTTTTGTCTATTGCCTCTGCGCTACCAAGTCCTTTTGGGTCAGCTGTTGAGGTCTCCCTCATTCCATTCAGTCTTTTACAGATTTTATAACTCTTTAAAAACTTTGTGCCATGACTCCATTTTGCCTTCTGGCTCACAGATCATGATTGTTCTCAAGATGCCAATCAGTACTCAAACCTTTAGCATATAACATTGCATTTTATAATGCATTTTTTTTTGGTATAACAGAAATCTTTCTCTTTTTAGTTCAACCACCTCAGGACACATATGAATATAATATGAAGTCCCAGCACCCTTAATGCACAAGAAACAAAATAGTTTTCATTGCATTTAGATGAAGAAAATGTAATCTTTCACTTGAAAGAATCAACTTGAAGGATCTTGAAACAAATGTAAGTACTGATCCTTTAAAATGTGAACAGTTTAGTTATTGACAAGAGAAGAAAAAAATACTTTTCCATAAACAAAAAAGAAACCAACTTGAGAAGAATGTCAGGTTTTTCTAGGATATAAACAGTATGGTGTCTGAAAGGGGTCAGAAAAAAAAACTTGTTTAATAAAAATTTCTAAAATCCATGAGTAAACAAATAATTTTAAGAAAAGATGGAAGAAATTTATTTGCCAAAAGAGGCATAAAATGGACTGTTGAATAAATAAAATGGCTTACTTTATACTTACTTTTTTTTTTAGGCAATTGGGGTTAAGTGACTTGCCCAGGGTCACACAGCTAGTGTCAAGTGATTGATCTGAGGCCAGATTTGAACTCAGGTCTTCCTGACTTCAGGGCTGGTGCTCTATCCACTGTGCCACCTAACTGCCCCTATACTTATTTCTTACATCCTTGTAAAGAATGCAAGCTCATATCATTTATTATGTAAACAATTTGCTAGCTGAAAGGTGGTAGAAAATGAATTTTTATGTACTAAAAACTTCTAAAATGAAAATGTGAAGAAATAAAATGTTTAGAGACATTGAATATTAAGAAGACTGTTTTGAGAACTGAGAAATAGGTGAAGCTGCATGTCATTGTGTTCCTGCAGATCATTTTTGTGCAATATTTTTAAGACTTAAGAGGTTAAAACTCACAAAAATGTCAGATCTGGTAATTGAAGACTATGAGATGATTAAATGAGGATTGTTGCTTTTGTAACTAACAGAAAAGGGATGTTAGTGATTTTTTTTAGCCTCATAAGGGAAAGATGAGTTACTGAGTAGCAGAAGGCACTGATTTGAGCCTTTGAAGGTGGTGAAGAACCTGGCTGCAGTGACCAAGAATGGGCAGAAGAGAGCTAAGCAAGGCAGTGAAGGCTGAACAGGAAGGGAAAAGCAGGTTTCTGCAGAACTGTGAGAAGAAAATGGCAGTAGGAAGATCAGATGACATAAAGGCTTCAGCTGTTCCTTCCTGATTGGCTGGAGACAACTTGATTCTTATTAGAAAACTGATGAATTACCCTTTAATGGCATCTACGACGCTGTGAGAGAGGTGAAGTTTCCCACAAATGTCTGTTGCTTTCTACTGCCTAACTTTCCTGGTTAAATAGAGAAAAATCAGAAATGGCAAAGACGAGCTTTGCAGCATATTTACTGTTGAAGAGGCTAACTGCCAGATGACTAGAAGAAGTATAATCCAGGGGAGTAAAGACCTGACTGGGCTTGTTCATGTTGCCTTTGTAATGAGGGACTCGTGCATGCATAGACTGCATCAATAAGTTCAACTGGTACAAATTCCCCACGTGGCGCAGCCAGGATGACATAATGGAAGCGCTTTGGGTTTGCCTAGTAAGAGAATTCTGAAGACTAGAAGGACAACAGTTCTTGGAGAAGCAGCTTTATGTGGTATGTCCCAAATGAACTTGTGAGAATAAAGCCTGCATGCGGGGTAGAGTTGTGAGTTACTCTGAGCATGTGATTTTCTTGACTTGTGTTCGCATTTCTTTAAATATGTCCTCTCTCCCCCTAGATACTGAGTGCATGGTGGGAGGATAGGACCCAAGTTTCTGTTCATAAATCTGGCCTCAGATACTTACTAGCTGTGTGACTTTGGGTGAGTCATTTAATTTCTGTTTGCTTCACTTTCCTCATCTGTAAAATGGGGACATTAATAGCACTTACCTCCCAGGATTTTTGTGAGTGTAAAATGAAATAATATTTCTAAAAGCACTTAGCATAGCACCTGGCACATATTAGGTGCTATGTAAATGTTAACTATTATTATATAGTTAATTATTCCTTCATTTCCTTGTATTAGTATCTTTGTACTGATTATTAGTAATTTTGTTTTATTGTTAAGTAAATGCTTATGTTTAAGATATAATAGTATCATCATTGTGAGTAGATGATTTTGTGTAAATGGAAACATACAAGACCTATTATAATGGGAGTTCAAATAGAAATAAATCAGGAGAGTATATTCCCCTAGCATTTTCAACTGTTACAATAATTTATAGAAGGAATATATTTCACCTAGCTTCCTGAGAGATTTTTGAGTATGGCCGTGGTGGTGGTCCTTCTCTGGGAACTGAGACTTGCCGATGAAACGGCACATTGAGGGGAGTGAGCTAGACCAGAAAATGAGTGGGTGGTCCATGCCCTAATCAGGGGACTATGGTATGAGAATTCACACCAGGAACATCATGTACATATTGATATAAGAGTTCTCTTAAGCGATATGATACCCTTCCCTCTTCTTTCCTATCTCCCAATAAATTCATGATAAAGTCTTTCCATAAACATTAAAGTCCAATGTAGAAGAGATGTATATCTTACCTGGTAATGCACAAAGCGCATATCCCTAGAATACAGAGCCGCAGTCCATTGACAACTTTGTATTTGGTCGATGGATTTTGCTAGCTGTTCCAGAGTCTTTTGATGATGAGGATAAAATTTATGAGCAAGGGTAAGATGGAGTTGTTTGGTACATGGCTTTATAATGCAATCTATAAAAAAAATTTAAATAGCGTAAAGTTATTTTAGAAGTTTCCTATATTTGAAAAGTAATAAGGCATGATAGCTCATATTATAGCATGGCATTGTCATTTAATTCTTAAACTGCAGTGTCACTTATCGTACTTGTCAGTTCAGTTGTAAACTTCTTGAGGGTAAGAATTCTGTCTTACACTTATTTGTGTCCCTTGCAGTATACATCACACTGCACATAGAATCATAGACTAATAGAATATAGGGGTGGAAAGGGTATTAGAGATTATCCAGTCAAAGGCCTTCATTTTACAGGTGTTTTAGGAGAGACCTAATTCAGTCCAGTACAATAATTTACTCTGGGGACTGGAAACCAATGAAATGCTCTTGAATACCTTTAATAAAAATATATTTAATAAAAATAAATGTATATATTATTAAAGATTAAAAGGATATAATTCCTATTTACTAATTCAAATGTAGGCTATTCTTCTATATTTATACATTTGGGCTGGATTTTTTTATGCCTTATTTAGCAAAAAAAGCAACACTAGTGGTTCAAATCCTAGCCTCCAAAACCAGACATATCCTGAAGATATCCTCCTTGTCACCTTAAAGAAAAATTATCTTAGCCTACATATAAAAGGGGCCATATGCTGCCACTTAGTGGCAACATTCCTTTTTTGATCACTTTCAGTTTTGATGTATTTTGTTTTTATATTGTACACATTTACAGATTACTCCTACTTTGTGAGAAGTTTCTTATGACACAGTAAAACAAATATTACAGTAACTTCATCTGAAACATTTTATATCTGTAGAACCCCCACCTATTTTAAAATTAACAAACATCTATTTTCTTTCTCATCTGCCACTCACCAAAAAAAAATTTCTTACAACAAATAAGCATAATCAAGCAAGGCAAATTCTACCACATATGTCTCATTCTTCACCTTAAATTCATTACCTCTCTGTAATGGATAGCATGTTTCATCATTCATCCTCTGTAATCATGAATGGTGGGTGATTGTATTGATCACAGTTGTTACAGGTTACGAAGTTGTTTATTTTTGCAATAAAAAGCAACAGTAGCAATTATGATTTCAGACAAGGCAACAAGAAAAATAGATTTAATTTAAAGAGCCAAAGGGAGAAATGACATTTTGCTGAAAGGTAACATACACAATAAATTGATTTCAGTTCTTAATATGTATGTTCTCAGTGGCATAGTTTGTAAATACTTAATGGAAAAATTAAATGAATTACAAGGAGAAATAGCTAATAGAACTATAATAATGATGAGCCTCAATTTACCCCCTTGACCCTTGATAAATCTAACAACAACAACAAAAAGCAACAAAGAAATTAAAGCCCTGTATAGAATTTTAGAAAAATTAAATATGATAGATCTCTGGATATAACTGAATGGAAATAGAAAAAAAGATCATGGGAAGAGGGCAGCATGTTAGAGGATCCCAGATCATGTGCAAACACCCTAGTGAAGTTTAAAAATGAACGATTTAAAAATGAATAAGGAGACACACTTGTAGACTCTTCTATCCAGACCTGCAATGCACAGAAATATGGCTTGAATTCTGCATGGACCTTGAAGTATCAAGCCCAAGTAGGTAGAAAGAATAACTCAAAACAGCTTCATGGCAACTACAGAGAAATAACCAGAAGAGGCCAGCAGTGAGGGAGGGGCTCCAGGCAGCTGTTAGTTTAAGGGTTGCTCGAAGCCTCATGTCAAGACATGAGACCCATGACAAAGCGGAGAAAGGCCCTATGGAGCCCAGTAAGGGGCACAATTCTGAGCTCCACAAAAATAGGAAAGGACCCTTGGGTTGAGCCCTATTTAGATATGACCAAGAATCCCTACAGCAGCAAGAGAAAAAAGCCTCAAAGGGCAGCTAGATGGTGCAACGGATAGAGCACCGGCCCTGGAGTCAGGAGGATGTGAGTTCAAATCCAGCCTCAGACACATCACACTCACTAGCTATGTGACTCTGGGCAAGTCACTTAACCCCAATTGTTTCAGCCCCCTCCCCAAGAAAAATAGAAAGAAAAGAAAAAGGCCTCAGAAGGAGGGCTGCTTAGACTCCTGGCCCCAGCCCAATTTAGCATCCAAACAACCTGGGCCTGATCATAGCATGAGACAAAATCAAACAGTTCCTAGAGAAGAGGGACCTGGTTGTGGCCACTACACTGAGAATCAGGCAGGGCCTGCTCTTATACCTTGGGAGTGCAGAGTGGAACTTAATTCAAGCACAGACTTTGCCCCTTTCTTTTCTCTTCCCACAAACCTAGACAATGAAGCTACTGAAATGAATAAACCAAGGTAAATACTGAATATGGTGGAGAAATCTCTTGAACCAAAAGATGCCCATCAGGTATACTCTGAGAAAGAGAGCAATCCTATAACAAGTCCAAGTAAAGCAAGATGTGATCATGGGCCAGAGGCAATGTAGTGGAAAAGAATTTTGCAGAAAATACAACAAACACCATCTGTGCAGCTCTGATTCTGGGAGTAGAATGAGATTTCAGATCCAGCTCTCAGATTATTCTGAAACCTGAAGTGGAATAATCAGGACAAAGAGTTCAGAAGAAGATTGAATCTAAAATTTTGTCACTCTGAATCTACAGAGACTTTCAGACAGCTTATAGTAATTGGGTCCAGCAGCACACTACTGGGGCTTCAACCAGGGACAAGCCAATAGTTACGTTGCTCAGACCTAAACTTAAGCTCAGAGCTTGCAAAGCTTAGGTCAGGAAGACAATGAATTCTCCCTGGATCCAACCACTTTGGGTACACTGGAAGTTTTCATGTCCCCAGCTTAAGCTTTTCCTGAAATCCCTGAAAAGCTCAAAAGCAGTAGGATACAAAACAGGAGAATACAAATACAAGAGAATGCAAAACAGGACCAAAAAAGGGCCAGATATTCTCTTCAGGAGTGGCTACAACATATAGTCCAAAGTAAAATTAAATTTGGCAGCATGAGTAGAAAAAAAAGGAATTCCACTATTAAAAGTTATAATATTGATAGAGACACCCAAGATGCAAACCCAGAAAAAGAAGACTCTAAAACATGGATGAGTAAAACTTTAAAGGAAAATAGTTTGTATGCAAGTTCAGTCATAATTCCTTGAAGAAATGAAGTAAATATAAAAATATATAAAATGATATTATAAATTAAATGAAAAATTAGAGGAAAGTATAAAAAAGTGAGAATTATGAAGGAAAGACTTGAAAATAAAATTAACGGTTTAGTACAAGAAGTATAAAACTTTACCCAAGCAACAAATTCCTTGAAAAACAGGTTAGACCAAATAGATGCTAATAATTCCATGAAAACAAGAAATGTTAAAAATGAAGTCTAAATACTAAAAAAGTAGGAGAAAATGTAAGATATTTCATATAAAAAACTGACCTGCAAACTAGGTCAAAGAGAGATTATTTAGAAATCGGTAGTCTAACTGAAAGCCACAACCAAAGGAAGAACCTAGATATATATATATATTTTAAAAAATCATGATAGAAAATTATGTGGCTCTCTCAGAACCAAAGGGCAAAGTAAAAATACAAAAAAAAAGGCTACAGTAAAACTATGTAATTCTGGGGACTTCAATATACCCATTTTGGATAAATCTAAATAAAATATAAATTATAAAAAAGCTTAGGTCCTCAATAGAAGTTTGACATGATAGACTGCTGATGATTATTGAGTGGGAATTGAAAGGAGTATACATATTCCTAACTGTTCATGCAAATTTATAAAAATTGACCATATATTTGTGGGATTATCCTGTTGATGACCCTCCGTAACAGAAGTCACCTTATGTGTAACCACTGATTGATCTGCCTATATACACAGAAGTTTTTAATCTATCCAGTATTGGACTAGTCAGTATTATTTCACCAAATACTGCAAGGTTCTTCTATTTATAATCAGTTTAGCAAACTTTATTTAATCCATATATACAACGTTAATAAATATCATTTTAGTAAATGTCATTTAATCCATGTGTACAAAGTTAGCAAACTTTCCTAATCACAATACCCTTGTAATTGACAAGGAAGGTCTCAGTGTGGGCCACCAAATGACTCCCCTTCTTTTTATTTTATTTTATTTTAATTTTTTAAAATTTTATTAGTTTATTTTGATTTGTCAACAATCACTTCCATATGCTTTTGAGTTTAAAATTTTTCTCCCCCTTCCTCCCCACTACCCTCCCCAAGCTGGTGCACAATCTGATATAGGCTATACATTTACATTCCTATTAAACATATTTTCACATTAGTGAAGGTGTAAGTAAAAATTAAAACCAATGGGAGGAGCCAAATGACTCCCCTTCTTAACCACTTAAGATTCTCCTCCCACTAAGTCCCTGCAAATCGTCCCAGCAACAAGAATCAAATAAAAAGAAAGGAACCTAAAGCTCTGTGTTCTCAGTCTGGGTAAGCATCCCACTACGTTTCTCTGTTACCACCTCATGCTTGCCTCTGGGATTGAATGGCTGGGAAATCATGCAATTGAATGCTTGTGAGTAATATGCTGACTGATTTGTGATTCTTTGAATACTTATGTTTCTTCTCAGTACCTCACCCATGATCTCCCACCAATATTATGGCATACGAATCTCCCAAACAAATGCAGAAACGAGAAATATTAAACAAATCTTTTACAGACCGCAATGCAGTAACAATTATATTCAATAAAGGGCCATAGAATAAATGATTCAAAATTAGAGACTAAATAACTTAATCCTAAAGAGTGCATGGGTCAAAGAATAAATCATACAAATAATGGATAATTTCTTTAAAGATGATAATAGCGAGAAATGTTAACAAAATTTTGGGGATATAGCCAAAGCAATTCATAGGGAATATTTTATTTCTCTAAATATGCTCATCAACAAAAGAGAAAAAAACTGATTAATGAATTGGGATTCAACTAAAAAAACCCCAGAAAATCAACACATTTAAAACTCTCAATTAAGTATCAAAAGAGAAATTCTGAAA